ATCTGAGCAGTCAACGTCAATATTAAATGGTGGTCATAGCTAGATTGAAGTAATTTTCATTTTCAGTTGACATGTCGAGGGTCATGTAAAAATTCCAACACGTCTACTTTTTAACCGTATACTCGAAGGAAAAATCGATCGGTTATTTATTGGGGGATGTACGGCGGGCGGCTGCCAAACAGTGTCCATTCATATACATGAAAACAATAATGCGGTTTTCTGTGACTGCATGAAGGTCAAGTTCAATTATCACGACTTTAGCTTTTCTCGTTCTTGAATTTTGGAACCTTTTAGAAATCAGAAATTTACTTATTATGTGATCGAGTTATTTCCATTTGAACATACATTAATAAGTTTGTGTATAACTGAGATGTATAGATAGTCTATCAATGATTGTATCTGTTCACTTTATTAGTCAGAAGTTGTCAACAAATTATTTATAACGATTCTTTTTTAAGTCATGAGTGTTTTGAAGGTATATGTCACAGTTGGTATGTGGTATTTCATATTTGTTGCGTGTGTTAATGTGTTAAATTTTTACTTGATCCTGTTTGGGTGTCCAAATTTGCAAATATCATTTTTATTAGATAATAATCTATTTTAATTAAAGGGTATCTTTCATTACATTACGTTGTGTAGATAAAGTTGTTGACATTGATTGATTAGTTGCAAATAAGATATAAGTTTGTGACACATAAAAGAACAAATATTGGGAACTATTAATTATATTTGATTATAAATTGAAAACATCATATCTAATGTTAGAGAACAATTTTTTTGTGGTGAAATCATATCTAATTTTAAATTTTCATTACTGGTTCATGGAAACAAGTAAGAGGTATTTCCCTTTCAACAGAAACTGTTTAAATTAATAAGTATTTCATCAATAACTGAATTTTTGGGGTTCTTTAATAAGCGTCCTCTAACAATGCACTTTGATTTTGGTACTGGAACAGAACAGGTAAATGTCCAATTTCAAATTTTTCAGTTCTTTGACCACATTTATTTTGTGTCGCAAACCTATGCTGTATCAAATATTCCATCACAAACAAAATTCAGAGCTGTTTTAAGCTTTAATCTTGTATCCATACTTGCTTTACTATTTAGGGTTCGACCTCTGCAGGAAAAACCGGTTTGCTGTCACTCTGACAACCTCTTGTTCAGTAACTTCTAAATTTTAACATATGGTCAGGGCTGTCATAAAACCATTCTCAATATAGATCTGAAAACGTTTCGCCCAAAAGGGTTACTGACTGTGGTATAGAGACAAAATCAATTTGATCTTCCAATCGGCAATAAATCCTTGTCAAAGTGGGGCGTATGTCGAAATGGGGAAATTAAATCAAACGCCTTATGTAAAGAGAACTCCTGGAAGAACTCTTGGAGGTGTCCGTAAGTTGATTGTAGCGGGACAAAATTCCCGTCCCTTTCCAAAAAAACCAACATTCTCCTGACCTTCATCCCGGATGTAATCTATTACATGACCTACCTAAAGTATTAAGTGTTACTGTGGTATCCTCTTGAACATGCATTGACAATTTGCCCCTGAACTGTTAGCAACCAACAATTAACCAAAATGTTATATTTACATACTCTTGTTTTATTTTATTTCTCTTTTTGTTTAGGAGGTTCACTTTTAACTCTTATGAGATCTTTGACGGTAATATGAATGTGCTATTTCGCTTCAAATATGATTCATCTGAAACTGCAATCAAGGTACGTCTGTCCAGCATCATATTACACACTCTGATATAAAATGAACATATGGTAGTGATTCACGTTTTATGGGCAAATTTACAAAGTGTCTTAAGTTTATACTTCTTTAGACCAAGTAGTCGATACAACTTGTGCAGCCAATGTTAATTTTAGTGCCTAATCCATGAGCGATAAACACAAATCCATCCAAGGATCCCACAAAAATTTAATCAATAAAAATTAGCTTTTGCTTTGGTTGATAATCTTTACTTACTACTTCTATAGTGTCACTGGATTAAACATGTAATTATTAGCAAAATACATTTTAATATTAAATTTTGTTTTCATTTTGAGTTAGGACAAAATATTCCCTCAAAGATATTTTGAAATATTTAAATCCTTGTGTGCCTTATCGGAAACACATATGAAAAACAGCAATAATCGACAGTCAAACAAGTTCATGTATAATCTATAATTTGACGGGGTTAAACATGTTGAACAAACCTCTCCTTACTTGGGACAGTTGTGCAACAACACAACATAAGAAATAACTATATAATAAGATCAACATAAACCAGGAAAATATGTACAAAAAACACCTGACGGACGTGGCAGGGTATTTATACATCCACCCAAACACAAAGTTCAGAAATGGGAGCACTTGCAGTTTATAACACTTTGTTCAAAGCCAATAAAAATAAATTTTAAATAGAATTATGTAACAGAATTGTAATATTGGGAACAAACCAAAGCAATTCGAAAACCAATCGATTTTCTCTAAAATGCAAATTATTCTCTGAATAATTTTACAGAATGTGAGGGATGAAGTTATAGCAACAGTAACAAATCAGACAGAAAATACAACATGTCATATAAGCTGTAAGTAAAAACAATCTTTAAACTGATAAAATTCAAATTAAACACTTCTCAGTAATTCTTAAATTTGTAAAAAAAAATATGCTTTCTTACAGGGGTCACCTGTAGCATGTTATATCAAAATCTTGTAATCTTTATTTTGTCTTGTTTCGCCTTCTTGTATTTATCTAGCCAAGCACACTTAGTATTTTAAAAATTACTTAAATAATAAAGCAATTTGTACAAAATTATCAATATGTGCTGTTTTTTAAGTAAAATTCTCCGCTGACAAAAAAAAAAAAAGATATAATCAAATTCCCTCAAGGTAACTTGACTTAGATGGTTATGGCTATCTTCGTAGGTAAATTTTGGTCAAACGACTTTCCGAGCTATGGACTCTTAATGTTAGTGCGGGTTTTTTCTGCTTTGAAAATTTATTTGTCATGTGATTATGGACACTATGAATACAGTTAATAATGTTGTTTAAGCTGCAAAATCTCCAAAAATATCGTGTCATATTCATGCATCACTAAAAGGAATATATTCTTAGAAAATGATATTATCAATACCACTTACATCCATTACCTAGAAAGTGTTTTCGTTTTTGTTTTACAAAATTATGACGTGTAACCTGTTATGTTAACCTTACCTAAATTGAACAAGAATCCCCCCAAGATTGGTACATATTTTACATACTGTATTTTGGTATCTCATTTAGATATGCATTTATTTTGTAATTGGTTAACCATTAGGTTTATAGACCTAGGTTCAATTGATTTGATTTCATTAGGTTAAAGAACAAGGTCAAGGTTAAAGATCATGTTTTAAATTTTGGTTTATTATCATTTCTTTTCAGAAACTGTATAATATTTGGCAAATTATTTTTACTTAACTGTTAATTGCGACATGTCGTAACGCATGAATATTGGTTGCAAGGGTACTTTTCCATTAAAAAGAAGTTTGCTTCCCTCTTATATTCTAATGATGATGATGATGGATGGCTGCTTAACGTCCAGCGGCAAATGTATATGCATATTCAGAACATGTTAATGTTATATGAATATTTATACCCTGCTTTGTACTAGACCGACACTCTGAGTCGGATAGTTAACGTGTTAGCTCACAAGATAACAGTCCGCAGGAAGACATGTCACCTTACCCGGACACATTATTATATTCAGACTCCGAGACAACCAGTCTTTGCTCTAACTCCTTAATGCCGCGTGCTTGGCGGAGAAACAGCAAATACCAATTTTAAAGTCTTTGGTTTGGCCCGGCCGAGGTTCGAACCCACGACCTCCCGCACTCGAGGCGAACACGATACCACGAGACCACCGAGGCGGTTCTCTTATATTATGAATGAGCTATATGCTAATATAACTCGTTAATGTAAAAAAGAAGATGTGGTATAATTGCCAGTGAGACAACTCTCCACAAGAGATTATATGACAACCATAGGTCACCGTACGGCCTTCAACAATGAGCAAAGCCCATACCGCACAGTCAGCTATAAAAGGCCCCGAAATGACAAATGTAAAACAATTCAAACGGGAAAACTAACGGCCTAACTTATGTACAAAAATTTAACGAAAAACAAATATGTAACACATCAACAAACGACAACTACTGAATTACAGGCTCCTGAATTGGGACAGGCACATACATACAGAATGTGGCGGGGTTAAACATGTAAGCGGGATCCAAACCCTCCCCCTAACCTGGGACAGTGGTGTAACATTACAACATAAGGACGAACTATAAATATCAGTTGAAAAAGGCTTAACTCATCAGATGGATACAAATAGAAATACTACACAGTGTGGACGTGGCCGGGTACTTGTATATGCCAACAACAAAAATACACTACGTACAGATCTGAGAGTACTCGCAGTTACTGACAGCTACACAGGTAAAATAGCTACGGACGTATCACGGATGTGGTAATATACGTCCGTAAAACATCCGTAATACGGATGTATTACGGATGATACGGTTACGTCCGTAAAACGTCTGTAAAAATACATCCGTAAAACGTACGTGTAAAAACTGGTGTAAAACGGATTGTCCGTTTCACGGACGTTTCCTAAACATACGTATTACGGACGTTTCTGAAACATCCGTATTACGGCTGTATCATATTCAAAGATGTATTTTAAGAAAAAATGTATTCCATTATAACAAATCTATACGTCAACAGCATGCATAGTTAATTATGATTAGTTTTACAATAAATGAAAAAGTTTTGATTACTTTTATCATGCTTGAGATATATCTTGACACAAAAATGAGATGACTATGGTAAATAATGCTGAAACAGGTACACCAAGTGTAATATCAGGGCATAAAACACTCACTGGTAATTTTCCATGTGATTTAGAATTAAAACACATATATAGATCCATTCAAGTTGTTCACAGATTGTTTTTCTGTTGAAAAAACATAACACATGGTGGTATTAAACTTTTATACTGTTAAATTTTTGAAGCAATATTGATACATGGTAAACATCAGATAAATAAAATAATTATAAATTGTCTACAGATATAAGATTTATTTTTATATTTCGAATTTGTGTTAGTGAAAAAATGATATTATTGACAGCAATTATGTAATATTTGTGTTATACTTCAATACTTTTGCAACTGTTACCATGGTTACAGTTTCTAGATTTATGAAATTTTCTGGCGATTCATGAAAACTATTTGCTTTATTATAATAAACATAAAATTTTATATATGTTTATAATCAAACACACATTCAATATCTGAGTACAGGTAATCTATTAATATTCATATTTGTTGAGAAATATTTGGATAAAAAGATTAAAAAATTATAATTTAAGCAGGATCAGCAATTTAATATCAAGACAAAACAATGTTACATCTAACCTGTATAGTGTGACTGTGAATAAATATTTGAAATACATGTTTTTAGATCCTGTTCCAATAAATAGCTTTTCCACAGTAAATTATTTCTAAAAGCCAATTGATGAAAATATTTAAATTCTGAATAATAATGAGGATCATGTCTTACAGGAGCCAAACAAGGGTCAAACTACAAAATATATGTCAGCAAGGTATATATCTTTGCAAATTAATTAATCATATTAACAAAAGCAAATTATGTAAACTTGTGCATACATTTGATTATCATGGGTTATACATTCTTGTAACTTTTGACACAAGAAAGTAATTCAGGATGTGACATTCACAAATTAACAGCTATGGTCAAATCCAAGTACAGTTTGTTAATTCGTATGTACCAAATTTTAAAATTTTACTCCAAACTTTTCACTGTTACTGAGTATGAATATGGAAAAGCAATTTATGCTTTTTAAAAAAATTATTAAAATAATACCATAACATTTTTTTCACAAAATTTGCATTAAAATAACAAATTTAAACAATTTCATAACCATTTTTTTAATAATTTTTCTCACCTACAATTCATTTTGTAAACCTTTTTAAACACCACCTACATAACAAGGTTCATTGCAGTCATAGCACCAGAAGATATTTCTAAACTTTTACAGACAATTGTTCCAACCACCACTGCCCCCTCAAAACTTTTCATACAAATCATGTTATGAAATTTGGAATACAAGGAATATCTTAACTAATACATAAATTTCTGTTAAAAATTTAAGGACAATAAGATAAAAAATTAAGCACATTAAGATGTGTATCCAAATTTGTAATTTTTTAACCGATATGTTAAGTTTTTATCTTCAATTTGGTCATTTTATACAATTCTCTTAATGTGTGCATTTTAAAACAGGGTCCAAACCTGTTCAATTTAAACTAATAATATGTCACATATCTGGAAAATACTCATATTAAGTTAAGAAACTTGAATACAAATTATGTTTAATGCAACTGATTTTGTCAAATTTCACCAAACTCTTATTTTTTTGTGTATTTATAATTCAAAGTGTAAATTTACACCTTTTATAAGAAAAGCTCCATAAAAATATTTATTTATAACTTCTCTTCTTCCAAATTCATTATCTTGATGCAATTTTTGTCTTGAAACAATGATATTAATATTTGATATTAAACATGGTGTTAAACATGTTAAATTGGGGCCTTATGAAACATACTTCTTTTCAACAAGTCAAACATAACCTACTGTACATTTACATTATTGACTAAATGAAACTATATTTATTTAGAACATACACAGTATGATTTTTCTTGTGTTTCAAATGATTTGTTTTTCTTGTAATGTTTTCTTGTTCAATTCTTTCTTCATGCAATGCCTCTGAAATGTTGCATGATCCTCCTTTGCAATCATGAAAAAAATTAACCCTTTTCTGTACATTTATAGAACTTAAAATATCAAAAACATTTTGCACATTGTACATGTCACAGTTACAATCCTTGGTGTTGACCTTCTCAGCTTTCTGCAATTTGACTATTAGTCTTGTGCTTCCTCTTTTTGGTGTTAAAATATACCCCTCTTGGAATATACCATAGCATTCCTGCAACAAAAATACAAAATTATCATAGTTGTCTTTGTTATTTCGTTGTTTGTTTGCTGTCTTATTGAAATATTTAACTAACAAGTTCTTTTATTGGTATAGTTCCTCTCTTTTGTTCTATTGGACAATTCAGTGTTCTTACATATCTTATGTTAATTATACTCACTAAACTTGTTAAAATTTGTGGGCAATTAATATACAAAATATGTACTATTAAATAATTGTAGGATAATATATAATTTATTTGTATAACCTAAATAAAGTAAGAAAAAAGTGAGGAGCCGAAGATATACTAAATACCATTTCCTTTTCATAAGTAGTTCGTCTTCAATTTATATTGGGTTTGCATGTTAATTAAACACGAAGTTACATAATATTATTCCTATTTGATTCAATTATCTTCAAAATATGTCAAGCTGAAATTTGACTCCCCATAGTATCTTGCATACTCAGAATGTTTATCTTAAGTGTAACTTATATGAAGCCTATAGTCCAGTCAATCTAGCATAAATTTGACCCTAAACTTGAAGTAATTGCAACTGAAGATTTTTAAGTTTTAATCTTTAGCATTATACCCCAAATATACAAAGACAAAAGTCCAACAAAATCTAACTTTAGGAAAACTAAGAATCACAAGTTTAAAATTCCTATGGAGATTTGTATTGAAAAAAAGCAGAAATATCAATAAAATTGATACAAAATTATAACTTTACCGCTTTTATTCTTTAGAGTATAACAAACAACTCTAAAGGTGTTTTCATATCTTTTATCCAGCTGCAACCTAGATTTAATAATTCGTTAGTTGACCATTTATTAGATTTTTCAACATGTCAAGGTAAAGAATCTCAAATTTGATAAAAATAACTAAGCATCTATTCTTCTTTTTATGGTTTAAAGTATCTTGAAACAAGGTAGATGCTGAACAAATATAATTTACAGATATAAACAATACCAAATATTCACATTATTTTTTTCAAAATGGTCACAAAACCATAAATTTGCAATTCCTTTAATGAAAAATGTGCAAAAAAAAATAAAAATATGCATAACACTTTGGTATTGTCACATTTCATGAGCTGAAGATTTTATAATGTAGTCAAACAAGAACTTATAACCCCATCAAAGTATCATACTTTACATGAATTTTAAGAAAATCAACCAAAAACTGGTTTAAAAAAAAGACTCATTTTTGCGGAGTTATCTCCCTTTCCAATGTTAATTTCCATAGGAAATTAAAAATGCTGATTTTGAGTTTTCATCAAGTAAGATTTTATTGGACTTTTTTATGTGTATAATTAGGGCTTAATGCTATAGATTAGAACTAACACATTTTCTGTTCCAATTAGTTTGAGGTTCAAACTTGGTTTGAATGGACTACTGGTACATAATCATACAACAGTCAACATGTTGGTACACAGTCAGGAATTTCTTTAAGGTTGTTATTTATATAGGCTTAGATATATATATATTATATAAATATAAGAGATGTGGTATGATTACTTGAAAAGAAAAAAAAATAAACAACTCAGAAAAATAAATTGTTAGTTTTTTACAATTCATTAACAGAAGATGTTTAAATGAATCTTTATTAATGATCATACGGTATTATGTTTGCACCTACATTTTCATTCTCATTTATGTATTGCACCCAATCGCCACTTTGAGCAAGCTCATTTTCTTGGGTGGTCACACCACTTCCTCTCTTCAGGGTATACTGGCTGATGTTAGCATCAATATTTAGTGAAAGAGTGGCACTCAATATTACATCCTCATTTTGGGATTCCTCCAAAACATGTCCATGTTTTCCTCTTTTTAATAATGAAATTTTTCCTGCGACCCGTTGAGTCTGGTGACCCAACCCAAAATACTTTCTTACTTCTGGGGAGGATAATCCAAAGTTGATCACATTTGGTGATGCAGTTTTCCTATGAATGAAAATCCACAAAATGACATGCTGAATAGTAAAAATCTTCAATTACAGTTTTAAGTCGATTTATTATATACAATTATTAATGAGTTATTATAGGATTAAACGCCTTCACTCAAAAATTAATAATATGTTTGTGAGTGACTTGGTCCTGAGTTTATACACCAATAAATTCCTTTAAAAAGGCATTTAATCCTTATAATTCTTTTAAATTGGAGATAAGGAATTTATTTTTCCACACTCATAACCTCTATCACAAGTAAATTGTGTATTTGTGTCATTGAATTAGCCTGGCGCATGAATATATTTGTTGGTTAACGCAAAATATGTACTCCATGAAATTTGCTATCTGGTAAAAAAATAAACTACAAAAACTCTTATTGTCATTCAATGAATGTTTTGTGTTTATTATTTAATTTAAACGATTGACGCGCAGTGAAAATAAATATTTTTAATGTCGGCAGCTGGATTGTGTTATAATAGCCGCCATCTTGTTTACATTGGTTACAAAAAGAAATTCTCAGTTGAATAGAAAGAGAATTATATGATGTAATAAGCCCAAGTCAATAACCTTGCCTAAGAAAACAACGATAAACATATTACCCATGGTGTTTCAAATTCAAGACTGTTTCTTCCAGTTGCCTGTCTGTGCCAAACTGTTTCATGGTTTGTATGACCCCCAAAAAAAATTGACCCTTTTCCCTCTACATATTCAACTAAAATGATCTATAATTTTCTGTCTGACCGAATAAATTTAGTCTTACATTTTGTCAGTCAGACACAGTTCAGGATACACCGCAGGAGTGACTGTATATGCTTGTTACCACTTTACAGATTCAATTTGGATTTTACTTATAAATAAAGGAATTTTACTTTCGTCTTCCTTAAATTTTATTACTCACCATGTCTCATGGTCCTCAAAATACCCTCCAGTCATAATATGCTTAGCAACATAGTGCTTTGCAAATTTAATGCTGGTGTCTCTTGATCTCGCTTTCTGGTTCTGTAAAAATATTATATTGCGAATTGTACCGTGATTTTTTTCAAAAGCGTCCTCTTGAAAAGACTGTGGTGGACCATGGCGCTGTATATCCTCAACCTAAAATCAAATCACATCTTAAAAATAATGTGTAGTTTTAAGACAAGTCTGGCAGTATTCCTGAAAAATTTCTGAAGCCACCAACCAGATGCTCTTTCTTTAGAAATTATTGTTATATCAGGCTAAAATAAAATTTTCTTATAGCACCTATAATAAACAGCTGCGCCATGAGCGCATGATACGCCCGTCGTCTTGTGTGTGAATTTTTATGCAATAAGCATAAATAGTTTCTGACATACGGCGTGACATGCGAAAACCCCCTTTTTTTTTTTTTCAAAATACTCAATATCTCTAAAATAAAATTTTGTATCAAAACCAAAAAGTATACAGATCTTAAATCGTTTTTGAGATACGGCGCGACATGTGAAAACACCCCTTTTAAAAAAAAAATCAATATCTCAAAAATAAAATTTTGAATCAAAACCAAAAAGTATACAGATCTTTAGATAAATATAACTAAGAAGTGTGTAAAATTTTAAGCAATAATCATAAATCATTTTTGAGATACGGCGCGACATGTGAAAAACCCCTCCCCCTTTTCTTACAAAATACTCAATAACTCAAAAATAAAATTTTGAATCATCACCAAAAAGTATACAGATCTTAAGGTTAATATAACTAAGAAGTGTGTAAAGTTTTAAGCAATAATCATAAATTGTTTTTGAGATACGGCGCGACATGTGAAAAAAAAACACACACCTGTTTTAGTTACTAAGTCCCGTAACTCAAAAAGTTTTAATCTTATTTTCACCAAAAAGTATACAGATCGTTTGACCATCATAAGAAACAACTATGTTAAGTTTCATGAAATTTGGATAAGTCATTCTCAAGTTACGGTGCGACATGTTTACGCCGGACAGACAGACGGACGGACGCCGGACTTTTGTATAACATAATACGTCCCGTCAAAAATTTGACGGGCGTATAAAAATTATACAAGCCTGGGCTGGTGGGCATGTGGCCAAACTTGAAAACTGAACATGGAATTCAAAGTTTTCAGTGGCTATTTCAGTTATGGAAAATAAGTTGTACTCTTGTAACTACATTTTATAGCTATACATGTAACCATAATATTAGCCTGTCACAGTTTATAAACAATATAAGTACAACTTTTGAAATATATCAACTTTTTTGTATTCAGAATTTTTGAAGGGCTTGGATGTTACTTTTATATCTAATTTTTATATCTGATTACACTTAGAAATAGATGTTTTTTTTTCAATAAAGAAAAAATAATATAAAATGTATATGTTTTCTTTTCTATTTTTTTGTGTTGCATGATGACTGTGTCATTGATTTATATACCATATCTCCTTTCATTAATAAATATGTCATATATATAACAGGCCAGTTTGGTCTACAAAAGACTTGTCAGGGACACTTGAATTTTATTTTAATAAAAGCATGAAGCATTGAGTACCAAACATTCTGAAAGGATTTTCTAAATACAGCTAAGGTTATCTATTTCTGACCTGGAAAATCCTTATTATTTACAATTTACATATTTTTCAATTAGGATTTCTTTCTTTTCCATATCTGAAACCTACCACATGCAACAGAAGATGTGTTTTAGCCTTTTTCTTCAGTTCAGGTGCATGTTGATGCACAAGCTGATGATATGCTCTGATGTCTTCTCTCAGATCTTGAATATCTGTCCTTGTAAAATTGGCCTGGTTTAAGGTTTTCTGAATCTAAAAAAAACATTATTAAGTATCATGTATATGAATTGTTATCTTTGTGTAAGATCATAAAAGACCTAAATTTAGACTCTTTGAGACAGTTCATACAAATGCCTTGAATACCTCAAATTACTGACAGGTGATAGTCGTTACAATACAAGTCAAGTCTTAAATCATGTTTCCTTCTACTGGATATTTAAGAGAAGATTTTGCCATTCTTATGGAGGAATTATACCTTCTTCAATGGACTTGTGAAAAGTATAGACTTATTAAAGAAATCTTTTGTATTGGGTCTGAATTAGACCAGTAGAGCTGTATTTGCTCCACACATTTAGACTGTTATCTTTACTTAACTAAATTAATATTTTGGCTTCATCGTTTATATGTAAATTTATGTAGAATATTTAATAAAGTATGTGAACATCTGTATTTGGTCTCATTTGCCAGAGCTCAGTCCCAGTGGAACAAACCTTTGTCCGGCGTTCAATAGACACGAGGGGACGGTGTCGCATAGCCATCGGACCCTCCTGTTACACTACCCTACATTGATGGTCATTAAATTTATGTGTAAATCGAGTTGAGATGACCAATGATAATCTGCTTATCAATATGTTACCTATGACAACTATGTTAATGTCATTGACAGGCATGTGTGCCCTTAGTTTCTAGAGATAAGTTTCATATCACTCTACTGTGCTGAGTAAGAAAATCATCAGTCAGTAAGATCAAAGGTAAATTTCGTAAAATAGCGATAATTCTTAATATTTTATAGGTAAAATAGATAAAAAATTGTTAATCAAGAATTGAAATAAAACCCTTACTCAAAATATCCATATTATTAGCCAAAAAGGATAGAGCAAATACCGATTTCTAAATCCTTTGTTTATAACAGTGCCAAACAGTAAACATGTTAATGTTATTTTTCAATAATTTTCCTTCATACCTTTGCAAGGTAGGACACCATGCGTACATACTTTCCAGCTACTCCTGCATAACTCATGTTGAGAGGTGCAAGCTGTAACTGAAAAACAAAAATTAATTAGCATGAAATTTATCATTGCTTAATTTTACAGTTATGGTAGTAATTTTTTTGTTGTTGACCTATATAATATAAACAAAACTATGCTTTTTTGTGTTGGATTTTCCCAAGTCAGGAGCCAATAATTAATTAGTTTTTGGTCTGTCATGTTTTAAGTAAATAGTTGTATTATAAATTACACCCTCAGTTTCCTAATTTGAATTGTTTTACTTTCTCATATCAGGACCTTTATAGCTGATTATACAATATAGGTTTTCTCATTGTTAAAGGCTGTACTGAGGCCTATATAACTTCTACTTCTTTTTAACTCTGTTGGATAGTTGTTTCATTCAGCAACCATAACACATTTCCTCATCTTTACACTAATCTTATATTCAGGATCTATTTTTGGAATAACTTACCAATATTCCTGAAAAAATCAACCTCAATTACAAGCTCATTCAAAAAAAGATTAAAAAAATTACTTGTTAGAACATAAAGAAGCATAATAAATGCATAATAATTTCCACACACTTACTATATATATATATGTAAGCCTCAAATCTATGTCCAGCCTCAAATCTATGTCTTTTCTGCAAATCTATGTCCTTTTTAATATTGCGTCATAGACGTTCCAAATTTATGTCCTTTATTGTCTCAGATCTATGTCTTTTATTGTCTCAAATCTATGCCCTGTATTGTCTCCAATCTATGTCCTTTATTAACTCAAATTTATGGCCATTTTTGTCTCAAATTTATGTCCTTTATCGAAATTTAGAGACGTAAGACAGTTACATCGACGTCCCTATCTCCCACAGAGTCAAGGACACATAGAACGCTTCAATAGAACACTGACAGAATATTTTAGAAAAGAGATGTCAGTGGAAAAAGACTGACTGGCCTTCAAAATTGTCAGAATTTTATTACAACTACAACAACAGGGTACACACATCTATGTGAATGTTGATGTCAAGGTACACAATGGATTTTTAAAAAATACATAGATTCGAAACTTGAATAGTTCCCCAAAACAAAAAAATTGTTTAATAAGATAGTGGCACAAAATGTCGTTGTTAAACACAATAAATTATATCATACACATTTTTTATGTGGTATCTATACATTGAAACATTGAACAAAACGTTTGTAAATAGGTGTATATGTTAAAGCTTACGATACAGAATAGGTTTAATTCATTGTTGAAGGCCGTACATGTATCTTTAGTTGCTTGTATACAGATGTCATTTTGTCTTAGGTTGTTTATTAACTTATATTTCGTATTTGTTATCAAGACGTAACGAGTAAAGGGAAGTAACGATAATTACTACAGAACAATTAAACACGGGATCAAGAAAAGCAAACAATTTGAAAATGTTGTAGTTTTACAATAAAATGTAAATAATTATCATACAATAATTACACAGGCATGTAAAATTTTTAAGCACACACATGGAGAACACATCCCAACTTAACATTGAATTATGTGAAATGACTTAATAAAACAAAAATTCTATAAGGCCGTACTTATTAGACGGGCATAAATTTGAGCATGGCGAAACAAACTGGAAAAAGATTTAAGAAAAGGACACAGATTTGAGGCCGTATATTTTTTTAACAGACATAGATTTGCGAATGACGTCAAGATTGAAAACAAATGTGAAAATATGACACAGATTTGAGGCCGTATCTTTTTTAGCGGACATAGATTAGCGATTGACGTCACGATGGGGCACAGATTTGAGAAACAGACACATATTTGAGGCCGTACACAGATCTGAGGTTTACATATATATATATCTTTATTCTCAATAAACCATCAATTTGACAAGGTATAGAGAAATAGAACTTAAGATATTGTTGATTATTATTATTTTTATTATTATTATTATTATTAAAGCTTTTATTTTCCAGCCCAGTAATATATAAAAATGCAATGCTTATTATGTACCACATCATTTTCTACCAGTTTTAGGTATATGTTTACTGCTTAAATGACATTTGTCATTAAAATAAAAAATAACTTACATATTCTTTAAAGTGCTTTCCTTGTTTGCTATCAATATAATGGAAGAAATTTTGGAATTTGCTTCCTGGTACCATCGACAGCAAATGCAATTGCAGTTTCAGTTTTTGTATACTGTCTAAATCCTGTAGAATTAACTTCACCAGGTGCTTTGCAAGGCCAAGAGGTATCAGATGAAGTAATCCTACAGGTATGTCTCTGTTAAATAGAAAGATAAAATAAATAATACAGGACAATCATTATGATAGGTAGTAAAATTAATTTCAATTACTTTGTCTTTAATCTCTTTCTATACATTTGGGTTGTCCAAAGCAGTTTTCAGGCTTTAACATTATCAAGCAGTTGAACATCCATAAAGGTTTAAATTCAGGAATGTAAAAACACTTGAATACATCGGATATTTGAATACATTGGATATTTAAATACATTGGATATTTATAACCAAGGCAATATTTTATGTCAATACATAGACGACAAATTCTAGGCCCTTCATATTTTTTATAAGATCATTGCAAATTTCTACTTAAATGGTCCAAAAAAATATACCATAACTAGGAGATATCTGTATTGTATAGCTTCCTTAAAACGTGTTTTATTGACTCATACACTGAGTTAACCTAAGTTTTATGTAGGTCAAGCTTAAACAGTACAGTTATAACCATTCTTATGTAAAATTAACAAATATTTCTTTTAACACCAACCATCCGCATCCCCCTCCATGACATTGTTCTGGTCAATAGAACCTTACTTGATTAATTGCTTTACTTAATTTACTTCCAGTATTTAAGTTTAGTCATAATATTTAAATTTCTAACCTCAAAATCCCCTTTGAGTGAAGTTTTAAAGTGTACATAAAGCCTCATAACCTCACAATAAAATATGCATTAATCATACTAACCCCATACTGTATCTAAATTTATTTTTATGTATCATAATTAAACAAACCTATGAGGATCTATTAAATCCCAAAAAACATTTTCGTGCTCTTTCACTCCTTTCTGTTTTCTTAACGCTTTCTTGTCTCTCTCACTGGATCTCAAATTAATTCTTTCGATTGTTCTCTTGGTTTCTTCTGGTGTTCTTGAAGTTCCTAAAGACATGAAATGTTCAGAATCAACCTGTAAAATATTTCAGAACTTTAACGATAGGAAAAATAAGGCGTATCTCATAATTTAATGGTTTCAAAACACTTCTATAAAGATCAATATTTCAGAGTTATTCAAATACAGACTTTTTGAAATGTTATAAGAATAGTGTATATTTATCATGACTATTCATTAGCTCAGACAGACTTATAATGTTACTGTTCATGTAAAAATGCCAGATTCCTATATAGGTTTCTATGAGGGAAACAATTTACTATATCCCATAGTTGAGTGGGAGAGGACTTTATTGAATGTCACCCTCTCGTCCAGACCAATCAAAATTCTATACTTTAAAGGACAATGAATTGAATTAGCATCAAGTAATTAAAAACAATTTTATCATTTGACTGTCAAAATAAAAAAATAAAACATCTTGCTTCACTTCTGTTAATTTTTCTAATACTCGTAACGTTGTTATGTATGTGACGTCATAGAAAATACTTTTAAATAAAATTCATCTGTAAGAAACAATAATGGTAGGACATTCAGTATAAAAAATTAAATAACATAGCTGAGAGGGTGATAGAGCTGACTGGTACCCCTTCACCGCGGTTGACAATGTTTTCTCGGGGTAACAATCTGCTCTATCACCCTCTCAGCTATGTGTTATTTATGTAATGTCTTTCAGCACAAAAAAAATTAAAATTAAATATGTAATTAAACTCATCACCTACTTAGAGAAGCTATTTTTCTGTAAATTCACATTTTATAAAATATTTATACTGTTACTGCTGTTGCTGTTACAAAATAAATACATTCAATTCATTACTTGTATTCAAAGGTGCAGTTGTGTACAAAAAATAGTCATGGTGATCATAGCTACTTACATTGCATCTTGGGCAGTATTTATTAGCTGCTGCTCCTAAATGGTTGCAACAATAAGACAACATATTGAAGTCTGCAATAACAGAGTTGAGACTTGACTTAATGAAGCATTTTTTCATCTCATTGGCATCATAACCTTCGACTCCATCACTAAAAGTAAAAGGATGAGTTTATTGAAGCATTCAAATCATGAAAATTTAGAGTTTAAAAAAATAATCACTTTTTTCATATGTTATATTGAAATCGTCATCAGAATTTATTGCAGTTAAAAATGCAAGAGAAAGCTAGAAATTTCAAGTATTACTACAAAAATAATTATGAAGAAAACTTGTTTATATTAACAAATCTTAACCAAAGAGTAAAACTTTTAACAATTCACCTTAAAAAACAACGTTGATTGAGGCTATTTTTATATATATGTCAATGTTTTAAAATTGTTCATTTCATCTAATGAATATTTTCCTTCTGATGCCAACTAACAAACAAAAGCTTAAAAGAAAATTAATCCTTTATTTCCACTAAATACTTAAGAGTTATCTCCACTTAGAAGTCAGGAAATAGAAATGACTTAGCACTTGCTGAACACAAGTTTGCATAGTTCAAGTACAAGTTACTTTGTGATCCATTTGGATCTGGGGGATTTTTTTGGTGGTAATGTAGTTGAAAATAGCTTGAAATATCAACCCATAAGTGCCACCTGGAACTTAAATGGTAATGGAAGTTTTTAACGACCTTGACCTGCTGTAAGCCCTCGCATGGTCATTTGAGCTTAAGGTCATAAGAAACGAGTTAATGGTGAAAAATAATGTTTACCAATGCATGTATATATCATAAACTTAGTTTTCTGTGCACGATTTTATCATTTTTTATGCATCCATATCGTATAATCGTTTATTTTTTTATTTTTTTCTCTGTCTGTTAAGATGAGAAAATATGGCAGCTAATTTATTGTTGAGTTTGAAGCTGTAGTTTACCGATTGTCACCTTATAGTAAGCAATCAACAAAGAAGCATGGATATTGAGCACATGCATAACAGGTACAATAAGGTAATAGTTAATTTCAATGACAGATCAATGTGTATTGCGATCACCAGATTTTTACAAGATAGGTCATGCTGAGTTCACTTTGCACAGGGAAAACAAATTGGCAAATTGTTTGCTGTAACAATTCAAAAAAAGTAAATCTTTATCAAAATTTGGACAAATCATAGAATTATGTACAGAAGTTTTATAATTAACATGTGATAGAGATTACGTCAGTGTGGAAAAAAGAATTCCTTATTTCCATATCTAGAAGGAAATTTTGTAAAAAAATAAATCCATTTTTCCGTATTTTACTTTTAAATGGACTTAGATTTTCTGCCAGGAAACAACATATTCACTCTGTGGTTAAAGTTTTTAAAATTTTAATAACTTTCTTATACTTTTTTGGATTTGTACCAAACTTGGACAGAAGCTTGTTTATGATCAAATGCTAGTATCTAGTAGGAAATTTTGTTTTCTTCCAGTTAACATTACATTCAGTCTGCAGTTAAAGTTTTTAAACATTTATTATATTCATAAACTATCCTGGATGTTTACCAAACTTGGACAGAAACTTCTTACAATCAAAAGATAGTATCAAGAGGAATATTTTTATTGATTTACTTCCTCATTTCTGTTGAGCCTGCGATTAACAGAAAAAGTAGGCGAGACACTGGGTTCCGCGGAACCTTTACAAATTTTTTTTAAGAATTATAAGGATTGAAGGCCTTTTTAAATGAATTTATTGGAGTATAAACTAGACCAAGTCACTCCCAAACATATCACAAAAGTCTTTCCTTTTTATAAGCTGCTGCTGCTAAAGGGTTGCAACAATAAGACAACATATTGAAGTCTGCAATAATGGATTTGGGACTTGATTCAGCTGTTTTCTGCTCTTTTGTTGGGTTGTTGTCTCTTTGACACATTCCCCATTTCCATTATCAATTTTAATTCGGACTTTTAAAAAAAAAAATTTTTCCTATAATATTTCTGTCATATAATCAAGGAAAAATTAACATCAAATATAAAAAAGAAGATGTGGTATGATTGCCAATGAGACAACTCTCCCATAGACCAAATGTACACTTTGATTTATCATGAAATTAATAATTAATCACCTTTGAAGATCTTTTATATCATTTACTATTACTTGTGCAACATCCATTATTTCTACTTTTTCAGATGCACCTAGAAATTGAAGGGCACCTTCTTTTTGTCTTTCCTTGGTTGGTAACCCTGGAAATATATCATTTATAACTCATGAAAAACACTAAATCCTGCTACAGTTACATGTTACAGTTAATTTTTAATGCAATACACTTTTGCTATCGGCTAATTTCTATTTACCTGTGGAAATATAGTTTAACATGTGGTTATCTCAGAACAAATCAAAATCAAATCAGTGAAAATATAGGAATTAATAATATCATATATATGTTTAGGACTTTGACATTTTTAGTAACGATTATTCTTAAAAACGTATTGTTAAAATGGCTTCATATGGACATGTGTCTATTATGTACAAAAAAAGGTACCAGTATCACATAGGACCAGGAATTTTTATTTTTTTTTTGGGGGGGGGGGAGATAATTATGCCCTGCCGTAGCATTGGGGGCATAAAGTTTTTTACCCTTGTCCGTCTGTCCGTACGTCCCAAAATTGGTTTCTGTTCTCTAACTTGAATTTGCCTCAACCAAATGTTTGAATTTTGGTGGTGTCAATTTTACCGTTCTAGAGTTATGCCCCTTTACAAATGGAATGCTGAATTTTTCGTTTCCGTTCTCTAACTTTAGTTTGCCTCAACCAAATGTTATGAAACTTATACACAATGCTTATTACCACAAAACACAGATCTATTTAGAATTTTGGTGGTGTCACTTCAACCGTTCTAGAGTTATGCCCCTTTATAAATGGAAAAATTGCAAAATTTGTATTTTCTTCTAAATATCAAAGTAATCTTTAAAATTGGAGTTATCTTCCTTTGTCCATGATTATAGTTGAATCAACTACAATCAATGCTTTATACAATGCAATGTTTAATTTTGACTTCCACTGATAAAATACAGATCAAGTTGAATTAACCATTTTTGAGTTATATATGCCCCTTTATAAATCGAAAGATTGCAAAATTTTTAGTTTCCATTCAGTAACTTAAGTTTGCCCCAACCAAACATTATGAAACCTATACACAATATTCATTACCACAAAACAATGATCAAGTACAAATTTTTTTCTAACTTTAGTTTGCCTCAACCAAATGTTATGAAATTTATACACAATGCATATTACTACATAATACAGATTAATTACGAAATTTGGTGGCGACACTTTTACCATTCTTGAGTTATGTCCCTTTATGAACATAAAAATTGCTGAATTTGTTAGTTTGTCTCAACCAAATGTTAAAATACTTATACACAACCGTTCTAGAGTTATGCGTGTTTACAAATAGAAAAACTGCTGAATTTTTAGTTTCTGTTCTCAACTAAGTTACCCTCAACCAAATGTTATGAGACTTACACACAATGCTTATTACCACAAAATTCAGATCAAGTTCGAATTCGGGTAGAATCACTTTTACCTTTCTTCAGTTATGTCCCTTTATAACTATATGATATGCCAGCGGGGGCATCATCTGTGTCCACATGTGGACACTATCCACATTTATTTTTATATAATTTGCAAAAATTAGAATGGAAAAATTTAGGTAGAAATAATAACTTGCATTTAAAATTTTACACTTGAGGTACAGAATTTTTTTGGAAATATTATACCTGCTATTTGCATTTGAATACAGTGCAGTGCCATCCACTGTCTGCTCTTGTGTGTTGCAGTGTCATCCAAAAAAAGATTAATAGGAATGTGAACAACAGGTAAATCATCCACTCTATCATTATTGAAGTTGATATCAGTTTTCCACTTTTCTGCTTGAGCAGGATGTCCTATAACTTCACAATTAGCAAGTGGCTTTCTGTAATTCATTAACATAGGAATAACAAAACAGCAGTTGTTCACAGCTACTTTAGTACAAGTAATCTTGATGTACAGTTCTAAAGATGCATATCAAATGCACATCTGTATAGCTGTATATAAACTGTACATCTGTAAAGCTGTATATCAACTGTACAGCTGTATATAAACTGTACATCTGTAAAGCTGTATATAAACTGTACATCTGTAAAACTGTATATAAACTGTACATCTGTAAAACTGTATATAAACTGTACATCTGTAAAACTGTATATAAAATGCGGATAGATATAGTATAACACAAGATGCAGTGGTAGAATCTATATGATAAGCTTATACACAGATTTAAAATGTGCAGTTGATGTACATTTTTACAGAGTTACAGTTTATATACAGCTTTAAAAATGTACAGTTTATATACAGTTTAACAGATAAACAGTTTATATACAGCTTTAAACTACAGATGTACATTTGATATGCATCTTTAGAACTGTACATCAAGATTAATTGTACTAAAGTAGCTTATTTATGGAAATTTACATTTGTATGATGATCGATATATTGAAAATGTGGTCATGCCATGAAAAATCTTGGTAATTAAATCTTTTTTTCTATGTTACTATGTTTCCTTTGTTTTAGTAATGCATCAGAATATTGGAATAACAGTACTCTTGTAAATGTGTCAAGGCAGCCATCAATTTGATCGGACTGTAAAACTGTTAGTCACATCCCAAATTAATGGTGGTAACTCAATAGCGTAACAATACATATACTGATACTGTAAATTCAGAAATTATTGCGTGCATTTATTATTGCGATTTTGTCATTTTGAACTAAAATGCGTTTTTAATTTTTGCGATATTGAGAAAAATCCTGTTTAACTCATATAAAAAATTTTCAAAATGCGATTTTAAATTATTGCGATTATAACCCTGTCGCATTTTTCGCAATAATAAAAACATCGCAATAATTTCTGAATTTACAGTAGATGAAAATTGTATGTCTTAAAATATTTTCAGACAATTGAACCATGATTTTTCCAACTCAAAATATAAATGATATTACTTAATCAAAATTGCTGTTTCAAATGAATTGCTTTTGAAGTATTAACTTATCTGTATGAACTTATTGTACACATATCAATTACCTTATGATAGATTTAGAAGTATCTGGGTGTGAAATCATCATCTTCAAAATTGCAGATGGTTTTAGAGTCCACAATGGAATGTTATCTGAGTTCTGTCCCTTTAAGAATTATAATAGTAATTATATCATTCAATATACAGTACATTATTCTATTCAAGAACATTAATACAGCACCATTGCTGACAATTGCATATACTACAGGTCTTTAGAGAAGATTAGCACTTTTCCAGCAGATAAAATGAGCTATACTGAAAGTGCTCTGAATCATTGATAGTCACCCCGAGTCCCTTAATTTGCACAATAATTGCAATTTATATCTTAACCAAATAATATTCCCTGATACATGTTTCGCTGTTTACATTTTTCTTGATGAAAAATCCTGGAATTAATTTAATTTTTTTATCAAATATTTGCTGAGTTAATAAAAAAATCATTACAATTTTAGGCATTAATGATGAGGGTTATGAGAAGTTCTGTTGGTCTTGACTTATATAACATATATTTTCTTCAAATTACAATAAACTAAAAGTGCAAATTAATGAGTTATTTCCCCTTATGGACAGTATTTTTGAATAGATTTATAAGTGAAGCTCATTGCAGAGAGATATAGATTCCACAACTGCAACAAGTGTGTTACGATATTACTCCACTCAAGACAGTTAAATTTTAATATTTAAAGTGTGAGGCTTGCTAAGCTTTTTAAATAGTTAAAATTTAACTGTTGAGAGCGGAGAAATATCGTAATACACGAGTTATAGTGGTAGAAACTGTTTCTCTAATGATTTTTATCCTTCCTTTTCAAAGATTTTAAGAAAGTTGTGTTTCATTTTATATGACGTCATCAGGTATGGTTGCCTTTTTTCATGACGTCACAATAGTGAAATCCAAAAGAAACCAAAAAAATTTAATGTCACAATTGAACTTCGACCAATCAATTGCTGAGAACAGATTTTTCACTAGTGAGGAGAAATATCTTTCTGACACCAATCAAGAAATGTGAAAATAGCACAAAAATTAGAGAAGAAAATATCCAAACAACATCTTAACAAATTGAATATAAATTCTATAAATAAGATACTTAGTACACATTTTGAAATCTTTACTGCAAATGGTCTTCCTGATATCATACTTACCTTTGTAATTAGTTCTTCCCATGAAAAACTTCCAAACTTCTTTTCTTTCAGTTTGTAAAACAATGGAATATCAGGAACATTTAATTCTTTCATCATGTACAGCACAAATTTAACAACTTCATCACTCTGAAAAAAGGTATAGCAACCATATTCCCCACAAACAATGTTAACTTTTCTGACATTGGACTCAGACTTCTTTTAAACTGAGTTTTACTCTGCATATTGCTATGTGTTACTTTTTTCTACATTGACTAGAGGTATAAGGGGAGGTTTGAGATCTCACAAAACATGTTTAACCCCGCCACATTTTTGCGCCTGTCCCAAGTCAGGAGCCTCTGGCTTTTGTTAGTCTTGTATGTTTTTTAATTTTAGTTCATTTATATGTTTTGGAGTTTAGTGTGACATCCATTTTCACTGAACTAGCACACAATTTCATTTAGGGGCCAGCTGAGGACCACCTCCAGGTACAGGATTTTCTCACTGCATTGAAGACCCATTGGTGGCCTTCGGCTGTTGTCTGCTCTTTGGTCGGGTTGTTGTCTCTTTGACATATTCCCCATTTCCATTCTCAATTTTATTATATTGATTTAACTATTTTTACAGATTTGACTATTACATTGGTGATGTTAACATGTATTTTCAAGGAGGTTCAAGGGGGGTCTTAATTAAAATCCATAGATTTTATTTAATAATTAGTCAAAATTAAGTCTTAAATATCATGCTTTTTTCAAAAATATAATAAAAAAGTATTTTCACGATACAGGTTAAACACAAAACTGTTTCTATTAAAAAATAACTTTATCTGAGTTATATCCCCTACTATCTGAATTATCTCCCCTTATTTGGCAAAGTTGAAACAAAATGAATAAAAAAAAATTACTCACTACTCTTAAAATTTGCACATTTCATTAAAGATTTAGACCAATTGTTATCTGCCCTTCAAAATCCAAACTGAAGGAAGACACCCTAGCCACCTTAAATCATTGTATTCAGAACAGTTTGATAAGTTTCTGCATGAAAAAAATAACATAAATTGTCTTGAAATATACTTTTTATTCAGCAAGAATCAGGATAGAAATGCTCAAACAGCCTTGCATTTCACCTTTCCCAATTTTGAATCAATTTTATATCATGTCACCAATGTAAAAAGGCAACTCAGACTAATTCTTGGAACTCAAATGATTGAAATTAAATAACATATACGGGTCATTAAAAAAAAATGTCCAATTTTCAGTACACCCATGCTAAATTTTTTATTTCTAATGGAAAATGCCGTTATAAGTGTTTAAATGAATGTTTGTAGGGATTATGAGTCAGAACATTAATTGAAAACACGATTTAGATCTATTTTGATAAGATTAAAATATATTTAAGTCCGATTATTGCGTAATTTATGTGCGTACAGTGTCCGAGTAACACATTTCAAATGATTTTTTCCTATTTTCTGATCGCCTTGATATCTGCAAAAGGGACTTTTTTAGAAAGAAAATAATAACTCTAATGAAAAATCGTACCTTCTTTATTATTATAAGTAACATTTTTTCTACAAACTAAATTAAATCAGCGTACATGAAGTTCAGGTCCAGCCTGTTACTGCTACTGAAATCAGCTGTTAAATTTTTCTCTCTATGAATATTGAACTAGTCAGTGTTGATTTCAAAAGCGCAAAGTAACCTAAACATTTAACACAGCACGTTTCTTATATAACAGTGTAGAGAAAAGAAATTTCAAGACATTTAGTGAAAAAAAATAGTGGGTACTTTTTTGTCATGTCTATGCTGTTACCAACATATTGATTAATTACACCAAATATTATACTTGCAATAGTGCAATAACGTGTTGGAAACCAAAATCACAACATAAAAACATTATCACTTCATCAAAGGGAGTAGTTATTTCACAACAGCATTCAAAAATGAAGAAATTTGTCTATCCTGTTATGTCTATCCTGTACAAAATGGAAAATTGTCAAATAATATATTATTTCACAGAATGAATATATATACTTGAAGTTTTTACTCTTAAGAATCATCTTATTGGCTACGAAAAACCAGCTTAAAATTTTATCGCAACCTTTTCTAAATAACCCTAAATTTCTTTTGAACATGGTAACAGGAGAGACAAAATATTGCACCACCTATCAAAAAATGTTTCAATATATTCTTGTATGACATTATCAAGATTGCATCTTTTTATATGTTGTTCTATAAGTACTGTTTGTTTTGATTTGCTTATGACGAGGGTTGTTTGAATAGGTAACTTTAAATCAATTTTGCAATTTCAAAATTCGACATTTTTTTAAAATGACCCATACATGTACATGTACTTACAATAGGATGAGTTGTGGAATTCATGAAAATGTATATCAATAATTCTGTCTTTGACTGGAAAGGATACCAATCAAAGTCTTTTGACTGCTCATCATTTGAAGCTGAAATGTTAAAAATCATGTGTGTACTTTAGTAGCTATCTTTTTTATTACAACACTCATTATAAGAAAAAACAAGTTATGAAAAATGTTCTTTATATATTTCTGTTATGTCTTTTGTCTAAACATACTAATCAATTATACTGCACTAGCTACAATAACCACAAAAATTAAAAATAAGAAATAATTATTTTACTTCCATGAATTTCCCTTAATTCATGGTTCAGAGACTACTTAAAAAGAAAAGTAAAGATTTCTTGGTTTTCCTTAACGGAAGATTATACAGACAGAATAAGAAGTATACTTAACAACAAAATTATTTTCATTTACCTGTGTATGAAAATATTTTATAATGTACATTTAGTCTCAGATGCATGATTTTTATACGCCCGTTTACGGGACGTATTATGGTATACCACTGTCCATCTGTACGTCCGTCGTCAACATGTCGGACATTAACTCAAAAATGCTTAAACCAATTTGCATAAAACTTTGGTAAATTGTTTATATCTATTGACGTGAGCTCCCTTTCGTTTTTTATAAATTTTAGATTTTAGGTTTCCGAGTTATGGGGTTTTATTCATTAAAAAAGGGGGGATTTTCCAGTTTTTCGGACAAAAACTCAAGAATGCTTTCACCAACTTGCAAGAAATTGTGGTTAATTGTTTATATCTATTGACATGAGCTCCCTCTCAATTTACATATATTTTAGATTTTAAGTTTACGAGTTACAGGGTTTTATTAATAAAAAAGGGGGATTTTCCAGTTTTTCGGACAAAAAGTCAAAAATGCTTTCAGCAGTTCTTATGAACCTTTGGTGAATTGTTTATATCTATTGATGTAAGCTCTGTTTAGAATTTTATAAAAATATCATTTCTGAGTTATGGGGTTTTATTCATTAAAAAAGGGAGGATTTTCCCGTTTTCAGACAATAACTTCAGCAGTTCTTCAAGAGCCTAAATCAGTCACCTGTAATTTTTTGCTTGATTATTTTTGCTTTTTAATATATATTAATGAGTGGCTTAAAAATTCCATTCAGGTGTTCTTTGTATCTGTCATATTTTCTTCAAAAGCAAAGAAATACATTTTACTCCTATGTTCCATTTTAGCCATAGTAGCTATGTTTCTTGACGTACAAGAAAATAAAATACAAAATTTATACTAGATACTCTGAAACTCATTCGGCCAAAGTTTGGCTGAAATTGATTCATCAGTTTCAAAGGAGAAGATTTTTTAAAGTAAGCGAACTAGATGAACAAATTGTGAAAAATTGTCTTTAAAGGGCAATAACTCCTTAAGGACACATTTGACAATTTTAGTCATATTAACTTATTTGTAGATCTTACTTTGATGAACATTTTTGCTGTTCACATTTTATCTTTATCATTAATAATAATACAAGACAATAACCAAAAACTGCAAAATTCCTTAAAATAACCAATTTAGTGGCAGCAATCCAACAATGGACTGTTAGATTCGTCTGAAAATTCCAACTGTTCAGGGTTGGACCTCTGCGGGCGTATCCAGCTGCGCTCAGCGAAGCAGTTTATTTTATTAGTTGTTAGTGGCTTTGAACTTGCTGTCAGTAACTGCGAGTACTCTCAGATCTGTACTTAGTGTCTTTTTGTTTTTGTTGTTTGGATGTACAAGTACCCCGTCACGTCCACTTGTATTTGTAGTATTTTAATGTTTATCCATCTATGGGTTGGGATCCCACTAACATGTTTAACCCTGCCACATTCTGTATGTATGTGCCTGTCCCAAGTCAGGAGCCTGTAATTCAGTGGTTGTCGTTTGTTTATGTGTTACATATGTGTTACATATTTGTTATTTCTTTCATTTTTTGTACATAAATTAGGCCGTTAGTTTTCTCGTTTGAATTGTTTTACATTGTCATTTCGGGGTCTTTTATAGCTGACTGTGCGGTATGGGCTTTGCTCATTGTTGAAGGCCGTATGGTGACCTATAGTTGTTAATTTCTGTGTCATTTGGTCTTTTGTGGTATAGTCTGCCCCTGATTGACTACTGTTGTATTATTTGGGGTGAATTTAAAAATGACGGGATAACAAGAATTTTAAAACTCCAAAAAAGGGCAGCAAGATTAATTCTAGGTGCAGATCCTTTATCCCCCTCAGCCCCCTTATTTAAAGAAGTTGGGTGGATGACAGTTGACAATAGAATCAAATACCACAAATATTTACTTCTATATAAATGTATGCGTATGGAAGCACCAATGTACCTAGTTCAAAAGTTTAAACTGAAATCAGATAATAATCCTTACTCCTTGAGAGGTGTCACTCAAGGTAATCTGATAGTTCCTAAGCCAAAAGCTGAGCTATTTAAGAAATCTTTTGTTTATTCTGGATCAGTGTTATGGAATTGACTACCACACAAAATGCGTAAAGCTCAAAACACTTATACTTTTAAACAAAGTATCAAGAAGTTCTTAACACAGTCCTGATAAGATTATGTTTTCTACAATGTATTTGTATATTCTTTTATTTTTATTTTATTTTTTGACTACATGTGCATCTTGAACAGCCTTATATCTTATCATGTTAGTAATATTACATTGAACTAATTGACTGTAAATTAACTATGTGTAAATATCTGTTTTTGATTGTATTGTAATTTGTATGTGAGGGCCTCAGGGAAGATTAGTTTATTGTAACTAACTGAGTTTTAACTCTCTTTAAATAAAGAATTTATTATTATTATTATTATTATTATAGTTGTCTCATTGGCAATCATACCACATCTTCTTTTCAATATGTCGGTGTGGCATGTTTTTTTTTTTTACCTTAAACCCATTTTTACAGTTCATTGTTGATTATTAATTTTTAGTTTTTTTGGTCTATTTTTCTAATACTTTTATCAATTTGTGAACTCTATTTGGTGTATGGAATGATTGTAAGTTATACATGTCTGTCTGTCAGGGTTCATCTGACCTTGACTTCATTTTCCTGGTTCATAGATATAAATGTTAAGTTTTTCTGGTTAAGTTTGTTTCTTATTTATGCATTAGGTCAACTACATGTTAATTTGAAGCATATTTGGTGTATGGTATAATGTAAGATGTACATGTTTTACCAGTTTGGTTTATCTGATCTTTGACCTCATTTTCATTGATTATTTTACGTTTATTTGATAGTTGTAGTAAAGCTTTACCTTTAGAACTACATGTATCAACATAATATCAATGGTTAGTAAAAAAGGCGAAACATTTCAGCGTGTGCACTCTTGTCTTCCCTTGATACCAGTAAATATTTTGCATCATAACACCAATTTTTATTTACATATAAGTCTTCAATAGCTCAAAAAAAGTATTTACTGAAATTTTAGCAGATCCTAGATTTCTTTTCTTTCGATTTCATTTTGAGACCCAAGTAATACCAATGCAAATATAAAGAAAAATTTTATGTTAGCCTTTTCTCACCATTTTTAAATAATAAAATATCTTGAAATTGAGCTCAATGACCAATCAAAGTTAAACTTATGTTGTTCCTAAACTAATTGTCTTCTGACTTATAGTAAAATGTTCATTTCTAGATTTTTTTAATTTCACTGTAGTATTCATCCTTTAGGTTGATTAGTTTATATATCATGTATACAAAAGTTTTTGACAGTAAAATATTAGTTATAGAAGATTCATAGACTTTAGTACTATATATTGTCAATACAGATACATGCAACTTAGATTAACCATCATTGCCAAGAGTATCAGGACATAGTTGGGTGAAACACATACCGAAGTAGGTGTAAGCTTAAAACCCAGTCCCCAATCATGTTCTGGAATCATAATACATGCATGTCTGTAAATATAATTAGTACTAAATATGAACATCATACAGTAATGACATAAATTTGCTTTATTGGGTTTTTTTGGAATATTCTACATTTCATATGTGACATTTTGTTCACCATTTCAGTCAATAATTCAAGACCAATTTCAATGAATATCAGTGGCAGATCCAGAACTTTTCATAAGGGGGGGGGGGGGGGGGCTGACTGACCTAAGGGGGGCCCGCTCCAGTCATGCTCCAGTGATTACCTATATAATCAACCACATTTTTCCCACTAAATTTTCCCTAGATCCGCCTATGAATATGAACACTTTTCTCACAAATTAAGTCCACATAAAAGGCATATTATGATTATGATGTATATGCTAATTTTAAGTTATATTTAACAGTATAAAGGTTTTATTAAAGGAGGGTCTCTTCCTATATGGCAGAAGGTATATATACATTGTACATATCAGCTTCTGGAATGGGTCCCTTTTTTGATACATCAAATATATCAAAGGGGTAGCAAGGATTTGTATAGTACATGTAGGGTGGGTCTTTTCACCACCGAACACCACCACACACCACCAAACACCGCCGAACACCCAAAAAAAACATTAACCACTGAGAAAATCAGTGATTTTATACAATAAAACGGTAAAATCAATTAAATTACGTCTAATTTAACAATTTTTTAGATGTTTATATGCATCATTTTTCTGTTAAAATAGATTATCAATATAATCCATATAAAGAAAAACGTCTCCGGATTCATCACTATTTTTCCGGATTACATTGTGCGTGTTTAAGAATCATTCTAATGCAATTAGTTTGTATCAGTGGTTCTGATTGGATGTTAGTAAGCGTATAATTCTCTAACTCCTTGTCTGTAACTAAGGAAGCTGACATTTTGAATTGCGGAATGTATTGACATGCAATTTTTACAATGATAAGCAAAAAACTCACATGTTGCACCTAGAAATCTTCTTTTTATCAAATTTAATTACATTCTGAAGCGGCCAAGAAGCCAGAAAACGCCCGGTGTTTACGTTTGATGGCGGAAGCATACATATGACGTCACCTAGTTTAGGGGCCAAAGAAGATAACATCTTTTCGCGGAATTTTCTTTAATGAGAATTTTACACTGAGATAATGATTGAAATTGAATTATGTACTTGTTTTGCATTAGAATAGAGATAACTGTATAGTATTTGAAGCTTTGTGGACGTCCATCGGTAGTTTTACTGTCGCAAATACCCGTTTAACTGTCTCCGCTACGCGTCGCCAGGTAAACTAAATTTGCGACAGTAAAACTACCGATGGACGTCCGCAAAGCATCAAATACAATACAGTTATCTCTTAATTTGACATCAATTACTGATGAAGGATATTAGTTACCCGAAGTATTTAACATTTGTTCATGTCTCTTTTCTTGTTATTGGTAGAACTATTTTATAAAAGAAGAAAAAAAATAAAGAAAAAAAATTATTTGAGGTGTCCAGTGGTGGTTTGCAGAGTTGTAGTGTTATAGACTATCCTTTTCTATTCGATATAGATATTTTATCTCTTAACCTTATTATTTGTTGAAATAATAACTTAAATATTATATTTAGGTCATATTTATAACAATAAGAGTTAAAAAAGATAAATTTTTGGGGTGTTCGGCGGTGTTCGGTGGTGAAAAGACCTACCGGTACATGTACATGGTATCCGGTCGTTCCGTCCCCAAACCGATCCGGCCCCAAGTCGATCCGGCCCAAAGTCGATCCGTCCCAAGTCGATCCGGCCCACGTCGATCCGGCCCAAAGTCGATCCGGCCCCATAATAAAATATGAATAAACTATGACACATTCCCAATTTCCATTCTCAATTTTATATTGACTTTGGAGGATTTTTAACAGTATAAATTGATTTTGCAATAATTCAAATATTTAAACGGATAGCTGTAGTACGCTTTACTATTTTCTATTTCTATTTAATATTTTATTAATCTAACTACTCAGTTTTGTACAAAAAGTCTAATAAGAAAAAATAAAGCAATCTTTATTTAGAATTTATAAGCTTTTTACCATTTTACACCTGAAAACACGCAAATTAATATTCCCAGATTTAAAACAAAACTATATACTTTTTTTTCATATTTATGGTTTAATGATGAAAACAAAGAAAATAATATTTAAGACTTATATACAAAATTACAGTTTGATTATATTAAAGCAAAGAGTGAAAATAGAAACTTACCGGTATTACAGAGACGGTGTTGCCACTTTGAACATTGCTCACACTGAAGTGCATGCTACCGAGGTCTAACATGTTGGTCACATACCACACAAGGAAAGCCATTGTGATATTAAAAGCAAACGCATTCTGTCTCCTCTTTTATAGAAAGGATTCAGCATATCAAACAACATTTCTCAATTTGAGAAGTTTTAAGAATTTAAAACAAAAACAAAGTTTGTATGTATCAGCTTGGGGATCGGCTTGTACCGTTGTGTATGTAACTATTTGTTATTACACAGGATGAAAGACTTGTTAAGATCACAGTCAATTGAAAGAAAATGCTAATTACTGCTGATTAATGTTGATGTCTGTTGATTGTACTAAATTCTCTATTATACCCAATAATCTTGAAAACTTGTAATGAAAACATAATCAACCTACTTGTTTTATACTCATCTAAAGAAAATATTTGTCAAAGGCCATTTTTTTTACCGTACACCTTTTACATTATACTAAAATTCATAAACATTTATGAATTACAATTAATATATATCTTTATTTTTATTCCTTATAAATATATTTTTTTATTGGGGCCGGATCGACTTTAAATATGGGCCGGATCGACGTTGGGCCGGATCGACGTGGGACGGATCGACTTGGGCCGGATCGACGTAGGGCCGGATCGACATGAAACCCATGTACATGTACAAAATTAATGTATACAAATCCTTGGGGGAAGAAATTGACCACTGGTTTAAAAAAAGGCCTTAAATGGTTTTGAGGATATTTATATAATATTTCCATAGAGGTATACAATTATTTTGTGTATTACCATGCCTTGGCTCTGTATTATCTTCTGTTTCACTGCCTTCTCCCTGTGAATCGCTCTGCTCGTCTTCTCCCTCCGACATTGACAGGCTGGTGCTTTCATTTTCCAACACAGTGTGGACCATCACGTCAGCAACATGATCATCGGTCGACGGATCACTGATGTCACAAAAGTTAGGGTTTTCATCAGTGCTATCGTTAGCATCCTCGCTATCCGAATCATCAAAAAATAAGGCTGCAGCGTGGTGTTTACTTTCTAAATGTCTCTGTAGATGCTGCTCTCGGTTAGTTTTATAATTACAAGGCTTGCAGTTGTATAGCTTAGGCATTGTGTATGTTGAATAAAAAAAATGTTATAAAAAGCTAAGAGCGGACTAAAAATATACAATTTGGCAAAGGCAACTTGAAGTGTTTGTAAACATTACCAGACGACATTCTTCAGAAAGGTACAAAACAATGTTCCGAATGTACTCATGTTTACCGAATCGACCCTGTCGTTTATTTCGCCACAAACAAAAATGTAATGTATATCCAACTATGTTAGTAAAATGTATTTTGTTGTATATAATATGGTCGGGTTGTTGTCTCTTTGACACATAACCCATTTCCATTCTCAATTTTATTTAGCTTAAATTAAGCAATTAATACTCAATAAAGCTCTTAATAGTTCGCGCATTTCATTGGGACGAATTAACCCTCAAGGCAGGTGCGCAGTGACGTCATCTGACAGACGACAGCTGATTTTGACAGAACTTGGAAAAGGCAAAGAAGATGAGTGCGTATGAGGTAAGTACTTGTGTGAACAAAACTTAACAAGGAAAGTTCGCATCTACAATGCAAAAAAGAGAAAAACGTGTAATTTACAAACCTTGAGATGTGATTACGGTGATTACCGTATTCATGTGAGCAGCTCAGACAGCGTTTCTGCATCCCCACTTGATTTTTGTAACATATATCATATTGTGGATAGAAAACCAAAATTCGCTAATTTACAGAAATATGTGCCTATTTCAGTTTGTTTTTATCTTCAAATTTTTGCATATTGAAATTAGCATATTAAATAAAATCCACATCATTTGCCGATGACGTACGTTGTATCTGTAGTGTTATATATTTCTGTGTCATTTGGTCTCTTGTGCAGTTGTGGAGAGTTGTCTCTTTTGCAATCATACCACATCTTCTTTTTTATATTAACAATAACAAGTTTTTAATTTATGAATTTTACGTTTAAGTTGCACAGTGTTGGTCAATAAGTTTGGGTTTTCTCATGGATAGTGGGTTGAGACTGATGAGTTAACAATTTAAAATATATATATGGTTTTGGCACTATAATTCTATATATATATATTTTAATTGTTCTTAACATCTAATCAAGCTCAACCCACTACACATACTTGAATTTTTTTTTTCTCCAATTATTTTGTTTTTTCAAATTCAATTATTTTCAAAAGCTGACGTTACTCATGAAAATAAGATTTCTGTCATTTTAAGTCCTAGGAAATCGCAAGAATGAAGGATTTTGCACCATTTACCCACGACCCCACGCCGAATGACTTCCTTCCTCGGCATTGAGTACACATCATTTTGCCCTAGCTACGCCCCTGGTTATAGGTAAGTTTGTGTGTATTGGTGTGTAATTCTTATACTGTATGCAATAGGTCATACTATATTTGGTGTATGGAATGATTGTAAGGCCAAACAAAAAAGTTTGTGTGTTTACTGTCACATGCTGAAAAAAAAACAGGGTAGGTAGGTAGGGATTTTTTTTTTTTTTACACATTGAGTCTATTGGAGCAACATTGTGACTTTAACAGTGCTTAATCAAAAAATGGCCAAAAAAAAAACTTTATTGTAGGTGATAAAAATTAGGGTAGGTAGGGGTACAGTAAACACATACTTTTTTTTGGCCTAAGGTGAACATGTCTAACTGGTAGGTATCATCTTGGCTTTACCTCATTTTCATGTTTCAGTAGTCAAAGTTAAGTTTTTGAGTTTTGGTCTGTTTTTCTCACACTATATGCAATAGGTCAACTATATTGATGTATGGAAATTTTTTATGATGTTCATGTCAGTCTCACCGGTTTTATTTGACAGTGACCTCATATTAACGGTTCCTTGCTTTATATTTAGGGCTATCATCATAATATCAATGATTGGTAAATTAATGAAGGCGAGACTATGATTTCTTGTGTAATGAATAGAACGTTTTCATTTTACTAACTTTTGACTCTGGGTTCTACAATTATTCAACAGGTTACCTAATCTGTGGTAGGTCATTTATGAGGAGATAAAAATATGAAAATATTTGATCAGTGCAATTTGGGGGGAAATTTACTATTTTATAATGATTTAGTCGAGTATAAAACAGCAATTAAACAGTTAACTTTCCCTAAAAATTGTAAATTGTCTGTTTCTGTTCAGTACAGATACATTTTGTACATGTATAAATGATAATTTAACCAAAACTATTTAGTCAATAACATTCATGTTATAAGTGTCAACAAATGAATGGTGTTTTTTTTTGTCAGGATTCTCAAGAAGAGAGACAGGATGATTTGCCCTCTCAGTCTCAGGACTTATTTCCGGAGGAGGTCCAAAGTTCTGCATCACTAGATGACAACATTGGAAGGCAGATATGTAAGCATTTATATTGGCAGTTCATAAAATAAATAGTTGTTTATTGAGAAATTTTGTCATGATAAATACATACTATTACTAGTAAAACTTTTAATTAGTGATTCAGTTTAAAAAAAATTTTTAAAAATTATTATAATAAAGGTAAGACATTTTCAGTTCAGGTTTTTTAAAATATTATTTGAATAATTAGAAAGATGTTTTCAAGAGAGAAGCATATAAATACTTAACACTTTACTGATTAATAACCTGCATATATATTTAAATAGATAGTTTTTTTGTCGAGCCTGCGACTTTTGTCGCAGAAAGCTCGACATAGGGATAGTGATCCGGCGGCGGCGTTAGCTAACTTCTTAAAAGCTTTATATTTTAGAAGGTGGAAGACCTGGATGCTTCATACTTTGTATATGGATGCCTCATGTTACGAAGTTTCCGTCAGTCACATGTCCAATGTCCTTGACCTCATTTTCATGGTTCAGTGACTACTTGAAAAAAAAGTTAAGATTTTTTGTAATGTTAAATTCTCTCTTATTATAAGTAATAGGATAACTATATTTGGTATGTGCGTACCTTGCAAGGTCCTCATGCCCGTCAGACAGTTTTCACTTGACCTCGACCTCATTTCATGGATCAGTGAACAAGGTTAAGTTTTTGTGGTCAAGTCCATATCTCAGATACTATAAGCAATAGGTCTTGTATATTCGGTGTATGGAAGGACTGTAAGGTGTACATGTCCAACTGGCAGGTGTCATCTGACCTTGACCTCATTTTCATGGTTCAGTGGTTATAGTTAAGTTTTTGTGTTTTGGTCTGTTTTTCTTATACTGTATGCAATAGGTCTACTATATTTGGTGTATGGAATGATTGTAAGGTGTACATGTCTAGCTGGCAGGTGTCATCTGACCTTGACCTCATTTTCATGGTTCAGTGGTTATAGTTAAGTTTTTGTGTTTTGGTCTGTTTTTCTTATACTGTATGCAATAGGTCTACTATATTTGGTGTATGGAATGATTGTAAGGTGTACATGTCTAGCTGGCAGGTGTCATCTGACCTTGACCTCATTTTCATGGTTCAGTGGTCAAAGTTAAGTTTTTGAGTTTTGGTCTTTTTTTCTAATACTGTATGCAATAGGTCTACTATATTTGTTGTATGGAATGATTGTAAGGTGTACATGTCTAGCTGGCAGGTGTCATCTGACCTTGACCTCATTTTCATGGTTCAGTGGTCAAAGTTAAGTGTTTGAGTTTTGGTCTTTTTTTCTAATACTATATGCAATAGGTCAACTATATTTGTTGTATGGAAGAATTGTTAGCTGTACATGCCTGCCTAGCATGGTTCATCTGACCTTGACCTCATTTTCATGGTTCATTGGTCAATGTTTAGTTTACTTGGTTAATGTTAAGTTTATGTGACAGTTGTAATAAAGCTTTATATTTAGGACTATCAACATAATATCAATGATTAGTAAAGAAGGCGAGACATTTCAGTGTGTGCACTCTTGTTTATTTACATCACAAATTTAAGTAAACCAAATGATCGTTTAATAACTTAATATTGCTTGCAATGTGCAGATTTTTCTCAGGAGTGGAATTGAGATGAAATATACATATTATAACCAAGCGCAAAATTTATTATAAATAACAATCTATATCTTCCTTAGTGGCTGAGTTGAAGAGTCTGCAGAATAGGATGGGCAAGATGGAAGAGAATATGACAGAAATGCAGAGGAAATTACTAAATGCAGAAAAGAAAGCTGCATTTAGTATTGATTCCTGTACATTTAAGGTAATATATACAAAGTATTATCAACAATCAAGTATTACAAATTTCTTTCGATGAATTATAATTGGAGTGTAAGATAATGTTTTCTTTAAATCATTTATTTGGAAAAATTAAATTGCAGAAGACAATGTACAGCAAAAACATTTAAGAAGTGCAAGTGTAACAAAAATTTGTTCTGGTGTGTCTATTGTTTGAACATGTCTTTTAATATAATTGATCACTCACTTTGTTTGTTTCAAATTAGGACAAATGTTCAACTTAAACTATACTTTTTTATGCCCCCGCCTTAGCCGAGGGGGCATTAAGTTTTACCCTTGTCCGTCTGTACGTACATCCATTCGTATGTCCCAAAGTTGGTTTCCGTTCTGTAACTTTAGTTTGCCTCAACCAAATGTTATGAAACTTATACACAATGCTTATTACCATTAAATACAGATCAAGTTTGAATTTTGATGCCCAAAAAGGCGCAAGCCAGGGCCCACCGTGCAAGGGCTGTATAGCCAGTCAAGGTCGTTAAAAACTTCCATTTGTTGTTGTTGGTGGCATCACTTTTACCATTCTAGAGTTCTGGCCCTTTACAAATGGAAAAACTGCTAAATTTTTCGTTTCCGTTCTCGAACTTAACTTTGCCTCTACCAAATGTTATGAAACTTATACACAATGCTTATTACCACAATATACAGATCAAGTTTGAATTTTGGTTCCGTCACTTTTACCATTCTTGAGTTATTTCCCTTTATAAACATAAAATATGCTGAATTTTTTGTTTCCGTTCTCTAACTTTAGTTTGTCTCAACCAAATGTTATAAAACATATACACAACTGTTCTAGAGTTATGCGTGTTTACAAATAGAAAAATTGCTGAATTTTCAGTTTCTGTTCTCTACTTAATTTAGCCTCAACCAAATGTTATGAGACTTACACACAATGCTTATTACCACAAAACTCAGATCAAGTTCAAATTTGGGTAGCGTCACTTTTACCGTTCTTCAGTTATGTCCCTTTATAACTATATGATATGCAAGCAGGGGCATCATCTGTGTCCACATGTGGACACAATCCACATTTATTACTCAATAATTATTCTCCTTCTACTGTTTCCTGGCTCATAAATAAAGTGTCATTTTGGTATTTTTTGTGGAGTACACATGTATGTATAAATTAAACAATTGCTATACTCCACAGGATCCAAATTGAATGTTTAAGTTTTCTATTTATTACATTATTGATATAATTAATACATGTTTTTATAATGTACTTGAATGATAACTTTAAACTCACTGATGACAAATTAAATGCTCAGTATGTAAGATAACTTGTTTAACCTGTAGAACATATTTCACAGACAGGAACTTATTTCACCAGGTAAGGAACATATCTCACAAACCTGGAACTTATTTCACTATGTAAGGAACAATTTTTACCATCCAGAACTTATTTCACCAGGTAAAGTGTGGACCATATTTTAAGAGATGGAACAAATTATACAGAAATTATCTGTAAAAAAAGTTCTCCCAGAAAATATTTCCCGTGACATTAGTTCCACTGGAACTACTTTCACAGGAACAAATTTTGGCTTACATAAGAACATACTTTTATTGTAACCTTCTATTAAAAGAGGTTGATTTGAAATATCTCATAATTTCAACGTGTTTATGTACAATTTCGATATGGAAATTTAAACTTGTGATTATGTGATTAATAAAGCCAGCAAAGAGAATAAAGTTCCAATGTTCACTTTTATCATCTGAAAACAATTGATTAATTATTTTGTAGAAAAAACTTTGCAGCTACTTGAAAGACAGATTTACTTCTAATCCATGGCTGGAGCCAACTTCTGATGTAGAATTTAAGGTTAGTGCTCTTATATTGTAAAAGGTAATTTGAAGGGGAAAAAAGAGGCAGTTAATTTTTTGTATTACTAAATTGTTTTGTAAACAAGAATTATCAAAGGACTTTTATGTAAAGTTTGTGAGTACTAAAGAGAATCAGTTTACACACAAAAGTCACAATGGCATAACCCTTAAATTGATTAAACCTTATAATTCTTAAGCGAAAGATTTGCAATTTTTTAATTTTTAGTTAAATTACAATACTCTCTAGAAGAACTCAATTTGCGACAGTAAAATTTGCATTCTAATGCAATTATTTTGTATCAATGGCTCTGATTGGATGACGACAAGCGTAAAATTCTCTATCTCCCTGTCTGTAACTAAGGAAGCCGAAATTTTGAATTCCGGAATATATTGACATAATTTCTGCAATAATATAAGCAAATAAACTCATATTTGGACCTACAAATCTTCTTTTCAGCAAATTTTATTACATTTTGAAGCGGACAAGAAGCCAGAAAATACCCGGTGTTTACGTTTGATGCTGAAAGGGTTACACTAATGTTCTGACAATGTCCTGACAAAGTCCTGACCGATATGAAAATGCTAAATACTTTTTTGTTATTGAAAGGATTGACTTTAAATTTTGAACCAAGCAAGATGACAACATTTCTGAAATAAATACAAGAAAAAAATTTTAAAAATATATTTGTAAGAGTTAGAAAACTTGACCTGACCAACTTAGACATTGTCCTGACGACAATATAACTAAACTTTCAGGAAAATAGTACAAATTTGAAAAAAGGAAGGTTAGTTATCACGCACCTGCTTATGTTAATTACTGTGTCTTTGATATTACAAGAACCTCTAAACGGCACTAAATGTGGTCCTACAATAGTTTTAACAAACATTTATAAATAATTTAAACATATTACGATATGTGCAAGCGTTCGTTATTTAGATATATGAATAACGTTCTTTTTTTTATTTTGAAAGCAATTTGGCGTATGCAGCAAAAGAGTATTCAAAGCATAGACATAAGTCAACAACAGTCAAAATTGGTCAGGTCAAGTTTTCTAACTCTTAAAAATATTTTTTTTTATTTTTTTCTTGTATTTATTTCAGAAATGTTGTCATCTTGCTTGGTTCCAAATTTTAAGTCAATCCTTTCAATAATAAAAAAGTATTAAGCATTTTCATTATCTGTCAGGACAGCCATCAGGACAATGTCGAAGTTGGTCAGGTCAAGTTTTCTAACTCTTTATTTAAGATATGTTGTCATCTTACTTGGTTCCAATTTTGAAATCAATCCTTTTAATAATAAACAAGTATTTAACATTTTCATATCGGTCAGGACAATCGTCAGGACATTGTCAGGACATAGTGAAACCCATGCAGGAAGCACACCTATGACGTCACCTAGTTTAGGCGCAAAAAAAGATAACATCATTTCGCAGAATTTTCGTTTAATGAAAATTTTACACTGAAATAATGACTTAAATTGAATGATTTGTTTATTTTGCATTAGAATACAGATAACTGTATTGTATTTGACGCTTTGCGGACTTCCATCGGTAGTTTTACTGTCGCAAATACCCTTTTACCTGTCTCTGCTACTCGTCGCCAGTAAAATAAATTTGCAACAGTAAAACTACCGATGGACGTCCGCAAAGCGTCAAATACAATACAGTTATCTCCAAATTTTTCAAAAGGCCAAGCTAAAACTACAATACAGTTATCTTATTGAATGGAATGAAGTGTACAAGTAATGAAATAATATTCAGCAGGAGACTTTTCAATCATATGATATGTCATGTTAAATTCCAATTTCAAACATTTTACAATCTTTATTGAATGCATTATTATACAATTATTGACTTTTGATGAGGTTGATACATTATGATTTATCAACCCCATATATATATGATATTAACCAAGGACAACAGCAAAGTGTCATTGTATCAACAATCAAAAGTTAATAATTGTCTTATTATATAACTTTTTATCCTTCTCCAAAATTCTAGTTTTTGCTCAAGATACTTTTAAAACTGCTTCCTGTTTAAAAAAAATAAAATATATCATAATGCAGTTGCTAAGTTAAAATATTTAAATAAAGAAAACTAAACAACAATTTCACACAAAAAAAGAAGAAAAGAGAAATATACACCAAAAACCAAAAGGAAAAGAAAAAAACATGAATTTTCTTGACGTCCTGAACATACGTCATTGTCTCTGCCTTGGAATATTTATATTTAGATACAGGGACGCTGTTCCAACTCTTGTATTAACCTCATGGACTTTTTTGCGCAGTAAATATGACTTTTTATCAATGATAATTTCCTATGCTTTTAGCCAATGAGAAAACAGAAAATTTTTAGTCATATAATAATTCTTTTTGTCTTGCCTTAAAAGAAGAAATAGCAGTTATGTTATGGTTTTGATTTTTAATCTCAATTTGCTGAAAATTCCTAGATCTCATGCATGAACAGATCACACTGTAGAATATGAAATTAGTTTAGGCAAAATGGTTTACCAAAGTATGAAGCAAAGCAAAAACTGCTAACAGACCAATCTGGTTCAATGATTAATAGATATATATGTATATCATATAAGAATAATCATAAATTGGTGCTGTAACTTTTATATTATACAAATATATAGCCCTCTTGTTATCCTGTGACAATGTTGAGTAAACATATGATTTAAATTGTTCACATCATGAGCCATCATTTTCAATCAGATTCCTTTTTGCAGTTTAAAAATACTAAAGGTTCACATGGAAAATAAATTATGAGCCTTTCCATGAGCTAGCCACTTACAGAACTCTGATTCCGGAATAAATTTTATATCCCTCCTTTTCAATGTAATTTCATTGTTTACTTATCTTATGTAAACCAGTCTAATATAGTTTAAAATTTCTTTTTTAACAGAATGAAGTTAAAAAATTTCTGAGAGCTGATGGGCTGGCAAAGGACACTTCTGCTTATAAACAGGTAGTGTCATTTTCCAGTTCAAAGTATGCAGATTTAAGAAATCAGCTACGTAGAAAGGTAAACTGAATTAATTATTCTGTTATAACTATTAAAGGAAAGTAGAATAATTATATTACCAAAATGCCCAAAGCAGTGGCGGATCCAGAAATTTTTATAAGAGGGGGCCCGCTTCGGTCATGCTTCAGTGATTCCCTATATAATCAAACAAATTTTTCCCAGAAAAGGGGGGGGCCTGAGCCCCCTCTAAATCCGCCTCTGCAAAGAAGTCTGTTACAATTCATCGACAAAGTAATTGGGCAATGTACAATGTTTTTGATATATAAAAATAAGGCAATGTGGTATGGATTCATTGTCAATGAGGCAACTTTTCAATCAAAGTTGAAATAAATTGGAATTAAGCAGTAAGGCAACTGCATTTACAGACTTCAACAATGAGAACAACCCATACTGTATTGATGGCTATAAAAGGCTCAATACAACCTGAAAGATATGAAATAATTCAATTGAGAAAACTAATGACCTAAAAAAAAACCATTTAAATCAACCCTACCCTAACTTGTGTCAGTGATGTTACAGTATAGCATATGAACAAAACATAAAAGTAAGTGAAAAAGGGCTGAAACTTATCAAATTGATACAAAGCAGAAAAACATGTAACACAAAAGCACCGACCAGATATGGCATGGAATTTACACATCCATCAAAATAAAATATGACACACAGCTACAGTTCCAATAGTATACTCGCAGTAACTTAATTACAGCTAGTTCAAAACCATTAATTAAGAAAGTAATATAAACAAATCATGTATCTAATGTAAAAATTAGAAGATGTGGTATAATTTGTTGTTAATGAGACAATTCTCCATAGGAGACCAAAATGACAACAAATATAGGTCAGCCTTTGACAATGAGCAAAACCATAAGGCTGATATACACAGCTTCTTTTGCATAGGTACTATTTCTGTACTGAAAATCTGTAGTACTGGAAATTTACTTTTAATATTTAGTACTATATCTTTACTTTAAAGTTGTTGTAATATTTAGGTACCTTTATTTCACAGTACTTGATTTGTACTACAAGTTTTAATACTACAAATTTTTGGTACAGAAATAATACCAACAGTGATCACAATATTCCATGTTTGAAAATTTTAAGAGATTTGAAATAGACAAACTTTCAAAATGCTAAAACAGTATAACCTAAAATCTGTAGTACCTCAATTTCAAGTACAAATCAAGTACTGTAAAATACAGGTACCTAAATATTACAATAATTTAAAAGTAACAAAATAGTACTTATTATTAAAATTAGATTTCCTGTACTACAGATTTTTGGTACAGAATAAGTACCTTAGCAAAAGTAGCTGTGTATATATCAGTCAATTGTAATCATTGTAATGATAAATTATATACCAACTTTTAAAAAAAAAATTATAAAAATCTGAAATCATTACCCCTGTTAGTTTCAGGTACTGTATATCTGCTATGGATGACACAAGGTGATAAAAATGAATGTTGAAGAATTGAAAGATTTGTGTTTAGTTTAAATATATTTTATTGTTCAAAAATGACAAATGGATTAGACACAAGTTTTTCAACTTAGTAACGTCTTCTCCAAAAAGATTTGTGTGCATTGTTTAAATCATTATTAAGTGTTCAATTCAAATAAGTCTTATATCTTTTATTCTTTACACAATTTAATTTATATATAAATATGTACATTTTAGATTTTCCAAGAGTTGACAGAGGGGAAGAATGACCTCCAAAGCCTGCAGATAGATGATTTTGCAAAAGTCATCCTAAGCAGTTTCTGCAGTGCTTTGGAGAGTTATGATTCCCAAGAGAGAATTAAACTCTGTTTGGTACTTGTAAGTATATTTATAATGTATTTTAAATTTACATACACCAATATGATCCTTCACATTTTGAGCTGATTTTTATTATGATCAGTTACAGATTGAGTTTTGTTTGGTTCTGCTCCGCTGTAGCCTGAATTACCGGTTTTGGATTTGAATAAATTCTAAAAAATAGCAGTTATAGGGACTTTTTTAAAACACTTTCACTTATTTAGCTGATGTTGAGTATGTGAGTCTACCATGATGAGTTAATAACAGGTTGAAATTATGTTTGGTTCTGCTCCATTGATATTTGTTGAAATTACAGGCTTCGTTTGGACTAAAAATTTCATGAAAGTAGTAGTTATACAGACTTTTTTTTCTTAACACTTTTACATATTGAGCTGATGTTATGTATGTGAGTCTATTATGATGAGTTACAGATTGAGTTTATGTTTGGTTATGATCTGCTAATTTTCATTGAAACAACTGGTTTTATACTTTGAACGATTTAACATTTTTTGTGGAACTTATAATTTTTTTCTAAACAACTTCACATATTGATCTGATTTTTAGTATGTGTACCAGTCTTCTTAGATGAGTTACAGATCAAGTTTACATTTTGGTTCTGATCCATTGATTTATGCTGAAAATTGGACAAAATTTCATGAAAATGACCGTTATTCAGAATTTTTTCTCAAATTTTACTCCTATAAACACATTAAGTTTTCTCTTAGAATTTATAATTCTTCTAACATCTATAAAAAAGATTGTGACAAAAAGCTAGCTTGGTCAATGTACTTAATCTCAGTAAGACCTGAAAGGTTAACCTAATTTGATTTGAATTCCATATTGATTAAATTTATGAAATAAATATATTATATCTAATCGTTTAATGCGTTTTTAAACACTTTCTTTAGGTATAACAATCTACCTTATTCTTGATACACATCATACTTTGAAAGTTGTGCTGAACTCATGTGTCATGGCTGTGATATGTTTTTAAGTTTAAACATTCAGAATAAATGAAATTTTGCTTAATTATTTTCAATGTGAAAAAAAAAATGACAAATGACATTAATCAATTCTGTAATGTGGTGACTGGTTTGAAAATGTATTTTGTAAAATACATTAAATCATTGTTATTTGGAAAAGCTGTGATTTAGATTATATGACTGATTTTAAAAAATATTTAATATAATAAAACTTTATATTCAGAGATCATTCCTGCATAAGAGGGGACTCTTTGCAACAAAGCAGTCAATTCCAGATTTCTGGGATAAATTTAAGAACTACTTCATGGAAACCACCAAGGGGGCTAATGACGAGAAGTGGGAGAAATTGGCAGGAATTGATTCTCGTCGAATTATTAAGAGATTGGAAGTTTTGGGTAAGAATAGCTAAGTTATTAAACAAAATATGAAGGAGTATATGTACGTACAGTAACTATGTTATTCATACCTAAATTGTTGTGTTAAAATGCACATTTAAAGACCCCTTTCAACTGCTATATCGCTATAAACATGCTAAAGCATCAAGTTACCTCATGAAATCTTAAATTTTAAATTAATAAGGAGTTGTGGTTTGATTGGGTATGGGACAATTATCTTAAACAAAGAGTGTCCATGTGAAGTAGATTTTAGCAATAAAAGGTCCCTTTACAACCTTCAACAATGAGCACAACTCATAATGTATAGTAAGCTATAAAATGCTATAAAAGGCTAGGACATGTAAAAACTTGAAAATTTAAATGAATACATCGATGGTCTAGTTATGAAAAAACTGTCAATGATAAACAGATATTGCAACCAGCAACCAACTACAACCAAAAAAGTATAGACTCATAAATAGTCGGTCAACCACAAATACCAATTAACATGACCAATTTGAATCTCAGTTACACACTTTTCACACATGTTGTTTCCCTTTGTCAATTGAAGACTCAGGTTCTTACTGGATAAAAAAGATTATAAGTGATATATATGGTAACAGGAATGTTAAAGAATTTTTGAGAAAAAAATATTATTAATACATAATGATTTTAGCTTAACAAAAGGAATAAATGGAATGAAAAGATTTTGAAAAACTTTGTTTTCTCAGACTAGAGTATCAATCCATCCACATTCAACAGAGTGAATACTTCCAATAAATCGTCAGAGAAAAGCATGACTGTTAAATCATCATACAACAACAAAAAAATCATGATGATAAAAATTGGGATATAATATCCCCTTTTGTATAAGAATTGAACAAGCAATTTGAAGCAAACCCATTAAACTTTCAACCAAAGCAATAAAGAGAAAACTAGCGGATGAATGTGTATAGACACTTAAAAAAACTGTTCAGTTAGTAATCATGAGCAAAATGTTTCTTAAAATTTGATTTCCTGTTGACCATCACTGTTTCTAAAGCTTTCATTTATTCTAAATACTCAAGTTTTCTTTTTTTATTCCAGGAAATTAAAGGATTACAGTCGATCTGCACTGAGATTATGGACTTATTATAAACTGTTTCATCTATTTAATTATTCGTCATTTATTTATAATTCATATTACTGTTACAGTCATTAATTTATACATTTCTATATCATTTGTATTAATCATGTTTATAATTTTTAACTAAAGAAATTAAATTATATATATTTTAAAATTTCAGACTTTCTTTTCCTTTAAGTTACCATGCATGTAATTTTAAGTCATAAAAAACATACACTTTCTGGATAATTATCTGTACAAAGGAACATTCAACTTCATTTTATATATATATAACTAATTAGTCAACTATTTATACTTTATGCAAGTATTTCTGTTACCAACTAAAAGATTGAATTAATTTTTTTTAGGGTTTGAGGACAGTCAGGTTTTTATTAGAATTGCCACTGGCAAAAATGGAAATGCAATTTTGAGATACACAGAAAATTGAGATATTGTGGAGTTGACTATTGATATTAAAAAAAGGGCTATTAACATGTATGCTTTGATATATTTTAGTATGTTGTAAAATCCCCTAAAAGCAGATATATTCTTGGTATGTGTTTGGTATGAATGTACCAATGAGATGAAGTAAAGATAAAATAACACATGGATAACTTAAACAAACTATTACTTAAAAAAAAACCACATATTCATTTTTTATATAGGCTGAATTGTGAAAAAAATAAAAATTATTGCACCTTCAGCATAATATGAGTACAAGCAATGCATAATAATAAAAGACGTTATACGTCCGTGGTACAAAAAATCCGTATTACGGACGTGGTACTAAAAATCCGTATTACGGACGTAGCAATATAAAATCCGTATTACGTCCGTATAACGGATGTTTTACGGGTCGATACGGACGTATTACGGATAAGAAGCAACGGACGTTTTACGTCCGTGGTACTATTCGTCCGTAGATCTTCCGTATAATACGGACGTATTACGGATTTTTTACGGACGTATTACGTCCGTAGCTATTTTACCTGTGTAGTTCAAAGCCGCTGACAAATAATAAAAAAAATCATGCATCTAAGACTAAATATATATAGTAAAGATCTAGGATCTTTTGATTTGAGGTCCTTGCTTCATAATCTTACAATTTAGTTCAAGGTCAAAGTTAAAATTATCGTCCACTAACGACGTTTATTTATTGTTCCCTTACGATGATTTCACTTGTAAACGTAATATTAAAAATGAAAAAAACAAAAAACAGAGAGGTCGGGTCTAAGAAGTAGGAACATTAGTTTGATATTATCATTGGTTCGTTTGCTACTATTCTATATTTGACTTTTTGACACCAGCTTCTCATTTTATTAGAACAGCCTGCGATTTGGTTTTTTTTCGATTTTTGGATTCAGTTCGAAATACTTCAATATATATCTATCTATATATATACAATAAAAACTATAACACAATTTTCAATACGTTTCGGCCATTACGGCCTTCTTCATTGGAATAAATTACAACATTGAAACAACAATTACATCGCTTGGATACATTACGTTATAATAACTACTATGACGTTCATTTGCCGCGTTTTTTTCTTTTTTTTATAAATATTTTCACTATCGTTCATACATTGTGTTGAGTCCATCAGGCTCTAAAGTTTTAATTTTTTTTATCCAAAACGCTTCTTTAGTTTTTCTGTAAATTTCTGTTCCAATTCTATGGCGGTAACTTTTAAATTTTTCATCGAATGATTATGCTGAATGAAGTGGTTTGCTACCGGATCGTCTGTTTTGTTTGTTCGTATTTTTGAAAAGTTCATCCGTTGATAAAGTGTATCACCCGTTTGTCCTACATATATAAGTTTTTCGCATTTTGTAGTTAATTGCATATACAACGCCCACGGTTTTACAGTTTATTTGTCCCTGAATGGTATATTCTTTCCCGGTGTTGTCACAAAATACCTTGGTTTCATTTATGTGTGAGCATAATGCACAATTTTTACCGCATGGTCCAAAGCCATTAGTTCGTTTATAAAATAGTAAATTGTGCTTCTTGTGCACTAAGATGTCTTTTATGTTGTTGTCGCGTTTAAATGCTACGATAGACGGATCGGGGAATATTTTCTTTAGCCTGTTAGATTGATGAAGAATTTTAAGATTTTTTCTGAGAATTGAATGTATATTTGAAAGCGCTTTGGAAAAAGTAATCACCAAGGGTACTCTGTCGTTTTCTTTCTTTGGTTTGTACTGTAATAGATCGTCTCGGTTCAGAATGTCGACTTTTTTTAATTGAACCTCAGTTATTGTATCCACGTTTTTTCAGGTGCGTTTTTATTTCTTCTCATCTTATTTTGTAATTTTCTTCTGTTGAGCAAATTCTTTTGACACGAATACCGAGTCCATATGGTATAGCACTTTTTACAGAATTTGGATGGCTTGACGAAACATGCAAATATTGGTGTTTATCTGTCGATTATGTAAAAAGATCTGTTTTAAGTTGTCCGTTTTCTATATTTACAAACACATCAAGAAAGTCGATTTTTTTAGTTGAGTAACGCATTTCTGTTTTAATTTGAGGATGTAAATTATTGGACAATTCGTGATTTTTTTTTAACTCATCTAAACCATGTTCCCATATTCCCCAGATGTCATCAACATATCTCCAATATAAAAACGGGTGTAAATTGCTGTTTTGAAATAAATTTTCCTCCCATTGTCCATGGTAGGTGCAAGCATAATTCATGCCTAGATGGGAACCAATAGCTGATCCTTCTGTTTGTAAAAAAATGCTTTCCGTTAAAGCTAAAATTATTATTTTCAATGACTAAGTTCATCATTTTAAGAACATCTTTAGTTGGGATTGATATACCAGATAGATTTTCTAATGCTGTTTTACATTGTCCTCGTTCTTCTTTTCGTGGAACACTTAGATCCAATTTAGTTACATCTAAACAAAACATTATTGCGTTGTCTGGTAATGGCTGTTGTATTGCACTTAGTTTGTTTAAAAAAATCTGTTGTGTCTTTAACATAGGTGGGCAATTTTCGAACATTATCCGAAAGTTCGTTTTCCACTATTTCCGCGATCTTTTCTGTCGGATGGTTCCGCCCATTAATAATTGTTCTTACCGGATGATTTTTTTTTTTTGCAATTTTGGATTTGCTTGTACTTTTCCAGGACATGTTCCTTTCGGTAGTAGATACTTTTTTATGTCTTTGTCTATTATTTCTCTTTTACATAAATTTTCTACAAGTTTCTTTACTTTATTTTCATTTTTCTGTGTGAGATCTTTATCTATTGCTTTTTAAGTATTGTTGTTATTTAATTCTTTTTCTACTTCTAGTTTATAGTCTTCTGTGTTTATTATAACAACGCCGGAGGATTTATCGCTCGGTCGTATCACGATGCTTGTATCATATAACAGTTATCGCATTGCCTTTTCTTCTTCTGTAGTAATATTCATTTTAAATTTTCGCCTCAATCTACTTAAAGTTTCATCTTTTACGGTCTGAATATATTCGTCTAACCATCGTTTTCTTCCGGGTGAGGGTGTGAAATTACTTGATTTTTTGAATTTAGAATATTCGTTTTGGCAATTTTCTTTTTCCTCGTTTTCTTAAAAAAAATATTCGCGGAGACGCATTCTTCTTTCCCATATTTTCAAATCGGCTATAATTTTTCCCATGTCTACTTTTCTTCTAGTCGGCACAAACTTAAAACCTTTGAACAATAATGTTTTTTGAGCGTTCGTTAGTTCTTTTGATGATTTATTTATAACTTCACATTTTGTTTATTAATTTTATCTTTTGACTCTTTTGATTCGTCTCTTAATTTTGTATTTGTTTCTTTTGCTAAATTATGTTTGTTAATAGGATTGCATGTACACGGTCTAGGAATATTTTGTACGAGTGAAAAATGATTGTTTTTATGTAGTATTGTAATATAAGGCATGCCATGGTTGCAATGTTTATTTCTTGAAAATTGGTTCCATTGAGCTATGAGACCGACTTTAGTTTTGATAAAGAAATCAACACTGTATGTTTCACTAGCTGCTATAATTTCTGCTTCCGTAGCCCAGGATGAGGAGTGTCCATTTGTTTTTGAAATGTTATTTATATGGGTATCGAAATCACCGTCAATAAATTTCGTATAAAAGTTTTTGTTTGTTGAAATTGTTGTCAAAATTTGATGACGTATATCTTCATGTCTTTCTTGGGTGTCGAATAAATATTTTGAGATGCATCTAAAAAAGCAATTCCCGTCTTTCATTATGTCTATATTCTGCTCTTTAATCGGGTTAGTTCTAGTTTGAATATCTGTTGTTGATCTTTTGTTGTTGTGTAATTTGTAGCTTTGAGATTTTAATGCTGAGATTTTCTTGCTCTTCGTTCTTGTAATTTTGTCTACTATTTTTTGCAGTTCATTCTCATGATTCTGTTGAATTTCTTGTAAGATATCACTTCCAAAAATGTTTATGATGTTGCTGTGTATTAGTGTTAAATTGTTATCAACTTCCTGAAGTTGTGTAGCACATACCTTTATACTTTCTTTGATTAACTGATATGAAGAGTTCTCTAAGATATTATTTACTTTTTTCATGATGACTGTCGTCCACTTTACCTAAGTTTAATGTCCACTTTAAATTAAATCCCTTTGGTATGAATTTAAGTCTATCAAAGTATTCCAAAAATGAAAGGTGACTTCCGTAGCGGCATTTCTTTTCACATAATTTAAATAGTCTTCTACTCCAACATTCTATGTTTCCAACAGATTGCAATTGTGTGTATTCCATGCTGTTTGCTGTTTATATATAAAGTCTCTGAATGATTGTATATTAAAAACTATAACACAATTTTCCATACGTTTCGGCCACTACGGCCTTCTTCATTGGAATAAATTACAACATTGAAACAACAATTACGAATTAGACTATTTACCGGATTTGTAATAACATAAGCAACACGACGGGTGCCACATGTGGAGCAGGATCTGCTTACCCTTCCGGAGCACCTGAGATCA